GCTGACACTTTTTCATTAAAGTACGGAAACTAATTGGCAATAAATTTATCGAGAACCCATCGATCAATCGTGATATATTTTTCATTCCTAACCTTCAATAATTTATAATTTTGTTTTTCTCCACAAAATTGTATAATTATACACCTCCTATTGAATTCAAAGAATAGTATTATTCTCTTGTTTTCTCGCCTCTTTCCTTTCCGCAATTCTTTTTACAAAACATTATATAACAATATTTTTTATCATTCAAAATCAAAAATAAATTATATTACTTTTAAAAATCCAACTATTCTTCAAAAATCGGCATTATTTTCTTTTTCAGAAAATTTTAAACTGAAAGTACTAAATAAAAAAAATAGTAAAAAGTACTTAAAGATACTAACAAATAGTAAAAAATACTTAAAGATACTAAAAAAAATCGTAAAAATATTAAAAAATACTTAAAGATACTAAAAAAATAGTAAAAAATACTAAAAAATACCTAAAGATACTAAAAAATACTAAAAAACACTACAAATTACTTTTAAAATCAATTCCTAAAATTGACCAAATTTTTTTGTGTTTTTTCACACAAAATATCTCAGTTTTTAAGAATATTTTTTCCACGCCAACGAATACCGAGGAATAAACGTAAAAATTTGGCAATCCATTGATTATATTCTCTTTCATGTGATAATACACGAGACTCTTTGAGTTTCGAAACTTTTAATTGAGACCTTCGAACTCGTTTATCGTCAATTAAATATTGATTCTCGGAAAACAGTACATTTTAAAACGATTATTAAACAAAATTTCCTGCATTTTTTTATAATTTACTTCAAACTTTACATTAAGTTTCGAACTCATAAAAGAAGAAAAAGAGTTATAAAATTTGAAAAAAGGGAAAAAGATTTTATTACTTTTGAAAACAAAAATAATTAGTTTCAATCCAAAGCTTTTTATAGTCAATTTCCCTTAATTTTTTCTTTTTATAAAAGTTTACGATTTTCTCTCCTTTTCTGCATAAAAAATTGTTAATTAATTAAAAAAATTATTATTGCAAAATAGACAAGTCAAAAAATAAAGATATAAAAAAATAGACAAACAAAAAAATAAGAAGGGAGAAAAATAAAAAAATTAATTCCAGTCTTTAATAACATTGAAATATTATTCGAATTTTCGAAATTTGTAATTTTTAAATCAAACGAAAATAAATGGTTCACTTTGTTATTGTTGTTTTTCACTTTAGTTGTCGATAAGCGATTGCCGCGGTTATTCAACCTATATACAATATGAGGAATTTTAAATCAGTAAAAAAGAGCTGCACCGTATTGTAATTTAAATGCCATCAGGAAGATATATTGTTTTCCATTTTAAGGCTTCATTGCTTAAACAAGAAATTTTGCGTCTATAGCACAGCGAATTCCTTATTTTATAAAACAAAGCCAATACTTTTTTAAAAGACAAATTTCCCCTATAGAATTTATTTTCCCATAAATTGTAAAATACGTATTTTCTTTTATTCAACAAAAACCAAATTAAATTCCGTTCTAACAGTGAATAAATAACTGAATAAATACATAAATGAATCAGAAAAAAATAGTAGATGTCCATAGCGTAGTGGTTAGAGCGCTGGTCTGGTAATTCGTAGGGTCGTTGGTTCGAATCCCCCCCCCCCCCCCGCGTGCGTCAGATTTTTAACGTTTATTCCTCGGTTTTATTCCAAATTTCCAAGTAAAATAAAATAATTTTCAACATATAAATCCAAAATAATTCGCAATTAACAAATAAATAAACAAAAATAATTCGAAAAACAAATTAATGAACAAAAATAATTCGCGAAACTAATTGAAAAACAAATTAATGAACAAAAATAATGCGCGAAACTAATAAATAAACAAAAATAATTCGTGAAACAAATAAATATAGACAAATCGCGAAACAAGTTAAAGTAAATACACAAAAATCAATTCGAAAAACAAATAAATAAACAAAATAATTCGCAAAACAAATAAATTTAAACAAAATAGTTTGAATAAATACGTTGAATAATTCACAAAATAAATAAATAAAATAAAATTGAATATATAAATCAGATAATTTGCAAAATTTTAATAAATAAGATAATTTGAATCCTTTTCAATCGAATAATTCAAAAAATAAAAATTAAAGAAAATTGTAGAAATAAATACACAAAATAATAATAAATAATTAAAATAATTGATTATTATAAATAGTAATAAAATTGAAAAAATATATTACTCGGTTTTAGCTAATTAACTCAATCTTGTAAAATCTCTCCTACTCTTAAGACTCTCTCGTACATTTAAAGAGCTAATAAAAATTCATTACGCTTCTTAACTTCGATCGACATACAATAATTATAAATTTCACTTTTTAAATAACTAATCGCCACATGTATAAAGTATTAATCGCCTACAATGTAAATTAATTACTCTTTACGACCAATTTTCAGTTAATGGAATTGGAAAATAATTTCCGCCCCCCCTTTTATAGTTAGTTGACTTTCACCGCTATTTGGCTCAGTGTGTATGCACGTAATTTAAACGCATTAAATTATTTACGCGAATAAATAATCAAAATAAAGTAGTCTATACTTTTCAACAATATCATATTGTTGAATTGTTCAAATTGACTACGCGGAAAATAACTACTCTTATTAAAGACATTTATAATGTAGTAACTGAAAAATAAGTTGATAATTGCGTTAATTTATCTTAATACGCTAATAAAAATTTCCTACGAGAAAATTCGATGAGACGTTAATTTATTTTGAAGCGCGATGACGAATATATTAATATTATTATTATTAATTAATATTCAATGTAATAAAAATTAATATTAATAAATGTTAAATTTAATAAAAATTAATATTAATAAATGTTAAATTTAATAAAAATTAATATTAATAAATATTAAATTTAATAAAAATTAATATTATTAAATTTACTATTTATTAAATTTATTTATTAAATTTAATATTAATTAGTATTAATTAATATTAAATTTAATAATAATTAATATTAATTCAGGGGCAAATTTATATTTACCGAAATACAAATTCAGGAACATTTTCGATAATTACAAAAAAAGTTTTGCATCAAGAAAAACTTGATCTAAAACATAGAAAGCTAACAACTTTTCATTTCACTCTAAACTTTCTATATTTATTTTATATTTAAATTTCAATATCTTTTATAAATTGTGTCACGTCACTGTAACTAATTATAATAATAATAATAATTAATAATGTTAATGACAATAATAATAATGGTAACAAAAACAATAAAATTAATAAGAATGTCACGTCACCGTATCTGGTAATAATAATAATAATAATAATAATAGTAATAATAATAATAATAATTAATAATAATAAATTATAATAATTAATAATAATAAATAATAATAAATTTAGTAATAAAAAATAATAATTATTATTTACATATTGTTGATTCTAATTGTTTGAACTAATAGTTTAGTTGTATAATAACAAATTGTAACTTTATTATTCAATGAAATTGTTAACAATAATTAACAAACAATAATAAATTGTAACAATTGTTAGTATTATTATTATTATTATTATTATTATTATTATTAGTATTGTTGTTTTCAAATTTTCCTAGAATTATTCACGAAACATTGGCAACTTATATTGTATATTGTTGTTATTTTTATTATTATTAGTATTCTTGTTATTTTATTATTATTAATGCATATTATTTTTCTGTTAAACAATCAAAATTGAACTAAATAAACAATTTGTTTACATCCGTTAATTGAGGGTATACCGCGACGGTTTTATCAAATTAAAGTAAATCAAGTTTCTTGAAGCCATATTTCAAATATTAGTTTAAGTACTTAGATAGAAACTTTCGTTTAAACAGAATTAACTTTGGAAAAATATTTACCTATTAATAAACGTCAAGCTAATCAAGAATTAAAATTGTTTCGAAAAAAAAATTAAAATAGTAAAAAAAAACCAAAAAAAAGTAGAAAATTAGAAGAAACAAAACAGAAATAAAAAAGAAAAAGTAGAAGATTAGAGAATAAAAAAGAAAATGGTAAAATCCAAAAAAAGTAGAATTAGAAAATTCGAAAACAGAACAGAAAATAGTAAAATACAAAAAAGTGAAAGTAGAAGATTAAAAAATAAAAAAATAGTAAAATAAAAAAAAGAAGTAGAAAATTAGAAAACAAAACAGAAAATAGTAAAATAATAGAAATCTGAAAATAATTAAATAAAAATCGAAGGAAAAAATTCTATTCGATCTTCAAAAGAACAATAATCTTTCTGTAAATATTTTCGTCTTTTCTTCCGAAAATTAGTGTCAAGGAGAAAATTGAGAAAGAGAAAAGAATTCTCTAATATAACTATATTGATTTATAAAGTGTAGAAAATATCCCGGACGATATACAGCATCCGATTCTCTTTTGTAACAATTTGTATTATAAACGCTACTCCCTTTTTGTATATAATAGTCTTCTATATTACATATAGGGATGCTGTCGGAGGGTTTATCTCGAGGCTATTGATCGAGTTGAACCAATTATAATAATATTGGACCAATTAATAAAGAAGAAAGAAGGGGGGCAAAAAAGAAATTCTTACCTTTGGAGAGAGAAAAATATTGACACTTCCTGATTTTTGTCTTCCATCCGCTATTTCGACTTTCTTTGCTTGAAGATTGATGATATTATTAAGTTTTCCACAGTTTGATTCAAAATAACACTTTCCGCGGAACTCTTGATCAAAACAATAACACTCAATGTTGTTATTGTTCACTTTGTTCTGAATTTCAATTCGTACACAATTCACGCCGGAGATTCAATTCAAAACTTTTCAAGAAGCCATTCACGTCGTCGACCGAGAGAGCAGGACTGGGAGTCAGTGTCAGTCGTGTGTTCGATGAAAAGGATGATGATGCGGGATGAAAAGCAGCGAGAGCGGAACAGAATGATGTGTGTAACATGTGTATCGGTTTTTCGCAACAGTGTGAGTGAAACTGAGCCTTTATAAATTTCGCTCGTGTGAAAAGCGTCAAGTGCGCTCCAAGCGGTAGTTTCTCGAAGCTCACGGTCGGTAAAAAAGTTATCGACAATCGGGGAAATTGGTTCTAATCCGTGCTAACTGGAATTTAAATTTTAAGTACATGTCATTTCTGTTAATTGTTAATAACGTTAATAATAGAGCTAATAAAGATAATAAAAGCAATAAATAACATCAATAATGACAGTGATTATATTTAACGATATTTATTATTCAGATCGTGTATTATTTTTGTCTACATATATTAATCTCGAATCAAATGTGACGGGCGCGACGGACGTATAGAACCGAATTTGAAAGATTTGAAGGTTATGTTTGTATTTTTTTTCTTAAATGGCTTAAAAGTTTATTTAATTTAAAACTAAATTCAGTGTTTATCAAGTATTTTAGATTCGGAGTAATTATTTCTATTGATAAGAGTCGATCTCCTTTGTATTTTCGGTATTTTTCTATTTACGCAAAAAAATTACGAACATAACCTAAAATTTTCTCAACTTCACTTTTACCTTTTTTTCGGAGCGCGTCACATTTTTTTTTTAAACTTCGTGTAAAAAACATTTCGAAAAGAAAATTGGTCACTAAGAATTTTTCCACTTATTATCTTTTTTATATTCTTTAGAATATATTAAAATTATATTATATATAATTTGAATAATATATCAAAAATTCATGAATTAATTTCGAAAGGCTAGATTCGAAAGAAAATTATATTTCGCTCTTTCGAAAATATAAAATTAGAAAAAATACTCTTTTTTCCTTAATTTTCTCATTGTCTTGAGCTTCAAAGATCAATTCACACGATAGAGAGCTCAACGGAGGTAGTTTCAATTAAGTTTGACCTTCGTATTGATTTATGCGAAAAGAGATTACAGTTAGAAGTGGAACTAGGTCAGTGATATTGACTCGATCGATTACATATTCTATAGATATTTTTGCAAATTTAGAAAAAATAGTTTTTTAAGAATTAAAAATGAAATTTTTGTCAGTTTATACTCTCTTCAAGATTCGTCGCAGAACCTTTTCTCTTTCTTCTTTTTCTTCTTTATTTTTCTCTTTTTATACTTTGTAGTATTTTACTTACTATTTTTTATTTTTTGACTTTTTATGTTATTTTTAATATAATTTTTTTTATTCAAAAATACAAAAAAAAAAAAAATGAAAATTACGATGATATAAAATTTACCTGATATTCTTTGTTCTTTCGCGGTCTATTTTTGTATTTCTCCATAATACTTTTCAATTTGTCGTAAACAAGTTTCGGCGCGTCAATGGCCCAGAGGAAATCCAAATGATTGAATTTCGGATAATTTACCTCGTAAGTTCCCAAGAGCTTTGGTAATTTTAATTTTAGTCTCTGCACATCCTGAAAAATATCATTTTATTATTTCCTGATCTTTTAATAGTTATTTCTTTATTTGTTTTCTTATTTTATTTATTATTCTCTTTTATTCAAATATATTCTTTATTTAATTATTTAATTCCATATTATTAATTATTTATTGATTCTTTATTTAATTATTATTAATTAGTTATTAATTCTTTATTGAATTATTATTAAAATTAATTATTAGTTCTTTATTTAATTATTCAATATTCAGTTAGTATTAGAATTTTAAATTTTAATTCTATTGAAAATGATATATTTTATTATTCAATATTTATTTCGTATGAGAATTTTAAATTTTTATTCTATTGAAAATGAATATTTCTTTTAAATTGAAAAAAAATGTTTCGACGAAAGTGACATAAAAATAAAAGAAGAAAAAAAATGAAATTATAAGGAAATTACCGTTTTACTCGCAAGCCAATCATTATCGGCGTAGAAAAAAACCACAGGAATTTTTATTTTTGATAAATCGTATTCCGGTGGTTTGGTATTATTATAAATCTCTATGTTTCTCGACTCGTAATCGTACTGTTGAAATTTGCCAGAATTTATTTCCTGCGCATAATGAATCAATGTTTTTGTTGACGATCCAGCTGGAGTGTGTCCCAAAATTATCGGCAGAAGAGTCTATATGAAAAAAAAAACAGAATTCTTTCATTATTTTTGAAGTCATAAAAATAATATAATTATATTATTAGTAAATTTTTGAATAATTTTAGATTCAAAATTTTAAAAATTATTATTTTCAAAACAATTTTAATGAAGTTTCTCGAAAGAAAATTAATTATTAAAAAAACTGTTTGATAATTTTAATAATCTTTAGCTTGTTTAGAAAAAAACTTACTATATTAAATTGACTTGCATCAAAACCAGAGAACGCGAATAAAGAATTCGTACAAATTTCCTCTTCGAATGTGTCAATTTCACAGCCAAATTTTGCGAGGAATTTCAAAATTCCATTTTGCGGAAGAAATTCGTCCGCTCCAAAAAAGTGGGCTATTAACTGAAAAAATAATTCCCGATTAGTTTAAATAATAGAAAAAAATAAGAATATATATATTATTTTTAAAAAATTAATATAAATACCTTAATATTATTGGCGAATGGTGCGAAAATTCTAATCGGACTCTTTAAGTGATTCATAAAAGCGACTGGGGCAAGACTAAACATTATACGAATTTTTGAAGTCATTTCCGGTTTCTCCGAAGACATTATGTAAAAAGTAGTTGTTCCCATCGAATGGCCAATGTACATTAAACTATCCTTCTTGTAATTTGTCACATAATTTATCATAGCCGGTAAATCTCTGACGCCCATCTCGTGAAAACTGAAATTTATACCACAAAAAAACAAAATCATGAAAAAAGAATTTATGTATTAAATAATATTAATTAATAAATAAATTAATTAATAAATTAATAAAATTATGTCCACAAGAAGTCAAGAATTTAATAATTCATTCAACTAAAAGAAATAATTATTTAAATTATTTAATTTGTAGTAAAAAAAATCTCATTTCTTTCGACTTAAAAAAAATAAATTTACCTGAAATTCCAGAATTTCGAATCTGTCGATGGAATAGAAGTGTGTGATCTTGAATAAGTGTTTCCACGAAAATTTCCCAACCAAATATCATAACCCAAGTCGGCAAGAATAAAAGCTGAAAGAAAAAAAAATTAAAATTTAGAAAAATAGAAGAAAATTAACAGAAAGAAAAATTAAAAATTAACAGAAAGAAAAATTAAAATTTACCCAAAGATTTTCCTTTTCCAGTGAGAACCCAATCGGCGGAACTTCCAAGAAATCCATGCTGAAGGAAAACGGGAGTTGAACCCTCAGGAGCAGGAATTCTGTGAATTGTTAATAAATATCCATCTTCTGTAATGACAACGTGCGCCTCCGCCGGATATCCTGCTTTCTTTATCAATTCCGCCTTTTTGAGAGAGAAAAAGAGTCAATTGTAATTAATTTATTATTTATTGGCATTGTTAATTGGCAAATAATTAATTAAAACTGTGAGTTTTGTGAATAAATAAATAAAATGAATTAAAATTGTCAAATAACTAAAAAAAATGAATGAAAATTGACAAATAATTAATTAAAACTGCGGGTTTTGTAAATAAATAAAATGAATTAAAATTGTTAAATAATTAATAAAAATGAATGAAAATTTGCAAATAATTAATTAAAACTGTGGGTTTTGTAAATAAATAAATAAAATTAATTAAAATTGTCAAATAATTAATAAAAATTGGGAAATAAGTAATTTAAAACTGCGGGTATTGCAAATAAATAAATAAAATTAGTAAAAATTGTCAAATAATTAATTAAAATTAATAAGAATTGTCAAATAATTCATTAAAATTAATAAAAATTGTCAAATAATTCATTAAAAGTAATTAAAATTGTCAAATAATGAATACAAATTATTAAAGATCAATTGTCGAATTAAATACAAAAATTAAAATTCTTAACAATTAACTTAATTCTTAACTTCAATTTCAAATAATTACAAAATTTATACTAAAAGAATAATTCAAAAACTTACGGTATTTAAATCGGCATCATTATTGTCCCTTCCAAGAAAGTCCAAGGATCCCTCGCAGTAATTTCCAATTAAAAATAAAATAAACCAAGTGACATATTTTATTTGTTTCATTTCTGAAAAAAGGAGGTTAAAAAATTACGTTACTAATTTTTTTCGAAAAATAGTAAATTATCCTAGAAAGATAAAAATAGAATTTTAAAAAAAGTTTCTACTAATAAAATAATAGAAATGAGAAAATTAACAGAAAAAGGCACAAATGGAAGAAATGACAAATTTTAATAACGTTAATAATAATGAATAATTATTATTGTATTATAATTACCATATATTTCTACAATAGTTTTTGTTCTCTATTATCTAAGCAAGTAGTGAATGAAACTGTTACAAATAAAGCAATAAGAACTATGATGAATCACTACTTTTATTTTTATCCTTCAGTGATGAAAAAAAAATTGCAAAAAAAATCTCTTCCAGACCTTTGACATCTGACGAATCCAGACGAATCATTTTAAAACTAATAATAAATATAATAAAATTCCATTGATACGATTTTCTAAACTTTCGTTACAATTACAATTTAACAAAAAGCGGACAATTTTAATTCACAATTTAAATAGAGACCTCGTCTAATTAATCGATATTAATTAACAAAAACGACAAAAACAAAACAAGAAAATATAACCTATTTCAACTGATTGTTCGCTGTTGAACACAATGGCACTTCTGTTTCTAACCAATTTTTCCTTTCCGCAACAATTAGGAATACAAATTTCCCACCATTATTAAATGAAAATAAAACTATAATTGTTAATTAAATTATTGAAAAATGTATATCACATTATGCACCTGCTCTTTATTTACCTTGCGAGGAACCGGAGGAAACCCGAGGAACAATTGAAAATGTCAAGAAACCGGAATCAGCTGTTGCGCACGCGCAGTTTAAACACCTGCAAATGCGCATGCGCGCTTCTTTTGTTTATTGCACTTTTTCAACGTTTTTAAATAAAAATAGTGAGTAGAAAACGTAAAATTCGTATTTTTCACACACTTTATTAATCACGTAAGTGGAGAAATTTTAATCCTAATGTTACACTTTATCGAAAGACGGATATTAATCACAAAATTAGTCAATTAATGCAAATTTCGTGAATTTCTTGTATTTCAAAATTTTCTAACCTCCATCTCCACGCCGGTTTCATTGTATTTTTAATTCATTCTTATATAAAACGTAAAAAAGTTTAGAAAACTTGTTAAATTAACAATAAGGGACAAAATTCATTTTTTTGATTAATAACAAAAGGTGTGATTATTAAATTATTAAAAGTGTTGCTATAAATTTGACAAATTCACTCAAGGAAATATTTTTTATACTGTTTTGAATTTGTTGAATTTTTTTCGTATTCTTTACCTTTTTTACTATCGTACTATCGTCTTTATACTCTCGTATTTTTTTACTATCGTATTGTTATTCTTGTATTTTTTACTATCTTATTGTTACTCTCGTATTGTTTACTACTTTATTGTTATTTTCGTATTTTTTTCTATCGTATTTTTCGAAAAGAAAAAACCAAGTGAATGAAATGAACGTTAGGGGAAACTTAATATAATTGCAATTTCAGAAAAAAGAAAATGAATGAAGTGACACTACCTCCCTCGCCAAATTGGTACCTGAATAATGTAATGTCTTGCTCAAAAAATGGAACAGTCGCGTGGGGTTCCAGACACACGATTGTCATCGGTCAACCAAAGGAGAATAGTAAAATTCTCGAGTATTCAATTATTTTGAATGCCCATTCAGAAAGAGTGACTTCATTATGCTTATCACCCGAATTCGACAATTCTGAGAAACGTCTTTTAGTTTCTGCCGGAGACGATCATAATGTGAAAATTTGGAAAGTCGACACTCTCACAACATCATTAACGAATTCTATTTTAGACGTAAGTAATTCTATTTTTGTAAAAAAAAATTTTTATTGAATAAATATATGTATTTATTAATTGTCAATTTAATTTTATTAATTATTATAATTTAATAGAATTTTTTGTCTTTATTGCTCGGTCGTCAATTAACTTGATGACAAATAAAATTCTTGTGAAGATTTCAATTATTTTCTTAAATAATAAAATTCTTCGGAGAATTCCAATTATTTTCCAAAATTTGAAACAAATTCTTGTCGAGAATTCAATTTTTTTCATAAATAATTGAATTCTTCACAGAATTTCAATTATTTTAAAATCAATTTTCATAAAATTCTTGTCAAGATTTTTATTATTTTCATAAATAATCAAATTCTTCGAAGGATTTCAATTATTTTCAAGAATTTTAATAAAATTCTTCTCAAAAATTCAATTCTTTTTATAACAAATACAATTCTTTGGTAGATTTCAATTATTTTTATTACTATTAAAATTCTTCGGAGGATTTCAATTATTTTCAAGAATTTGAAACAAATTCTTGTCAGGAATTCAATTTTCTTTATAAATATGTAATTGAATTCTTTACATAAATTCAATTATCTTCATAATAAATAAAATTCTTTGAAAGTTTGAAATTATTTTCAAAAAATCGAAACTAATTCTCGACAAGAATTCAATTTGCTTTATAAATAATTGAATTCTTCTGAGAAATTCAATTATTTTCAATACAATTTTAATACAAATTCTTCCCAGAAGGCAAAAATTTATTTGTCTTTCAAAGATAATAAAATTTGTCGCAGAAATCCAATTATCTTCAGAAGTAATAAAATTTTTTTAAAAGTTTTCAATTATTATCAAAATAATTTTAAGAAATCCAATTAATTCAATTTTTTCAAAATTAATAAAATTTTTCAAAGGATTTCAACTATTTTCAAAAATTTTAATAAAATTCTTACTAAAAATTCAATTATCTTCATAGAAAATAAAATTCTTTTGAAGATTTCAATTATTTTCATTAATCACAAAATTCTTCGGAGGATTTCAATTATTTCAAAAACTTTAATAAAATTCTTCGCAAGAATTCAATTATTTTCATAAAAAATAAAATTCTTGTGAAGATTTCAATTATTCTCTTAAAAAATAAAATTCTTCGGAGGATTTCAATTATTTTTAATACAATTTAAAAAAAATTCTTTGAAAGAATTCAATTTTCATAAAAATACTATTCTTTGGAAGATTTCAATTATTTTCATTAATAATAAAAATTCTTCGGAGAGTTTCAATTATTTTCAAAAGTTTTAATCAAATTCTTGTCAAGATTTCAATTTTTCATAAATAAAACAATTCTTCACAAGAATTCAATATTATTTTCACAAATAACAAAATTCTTCCCAAAAAATCAATTATTTTGATAAAAATCAAAATTCATCGAGGTAATTCAATTATTTTCAATATAATTTTAATAAAATTTTTTTTAAAAAAAGTTCAATTATTTTCAAGATCTTCGCTGAAATTCAATTAATTTCAAAAAGTTTATTAAAATTCTTCGAAAGAATTCATTTATTTTTAGAAATACATAACAAAATTTTTCTCAGGAATATAAATTCTTTTTAATAGAATTTAAATGAAATTTCTTGAAAGAATTCAATTATTTTTTAACAATTTTATTAAAATTCTTTGAAACAATTGAATTTTTTTTTAAAGTGTAATAAAATTCTTGGGCAAAAATTCAATTACTTTCATAAAAAGTAAAATTGTTTGCAGGAATTCAAAACGATTATTATAATATAGAAATTTTCTGTTTAGGCGAAGCAAAAAGTAATTGGTGTCGACTGGTCGAAAAATGATCCAAATTTAATTTGCTACGTGAGTTCGGAAGGTTTCCTCGTCAGTTGGAATATTGCATTCGATACAAATCAAATAATTCCTTTGGGAAAATCAACACCAACTTGTATAGCCTGTTGTCCTCATGATCCAAATCTAGTCGCTTTGGGCTCGAAAAAAGGAACAGTTTTGATAGTTAATATTCAGGGTTCAGGCTCTGTGATCTATAATTTAAGGGGCCATGACGTCGAGGTTGTCAGTTTGTCCTGGTGTCCGGTCAGTTCCAACATTTTCGTCGAGAATGGAGCTAGAGATTTGCTACTCGCCTCCGGTGGAAAAGACAGGTTTGCAATAAATATTATAATTATTGGAACTGGAAAAATTGTAGATTTTTTTTTTAACAGAAGCTTCTTGCTTCTGTTAAAAGAGACAATTTTTTTTTGCATTATTACGAGAGATAATTTAAATTTTTAATTCTAAATTCTCTTTTTTTCTCCAGGTCGATATTTTTTTGGCGCGCCGGAGGCGATGGGAGATTTCAATGTCAAATAATGCTTCCACAAAATCCACTGGATTCGCAAAAGCATCGCTCGAAATTGGGCGCTGGTTCGTTTAATTGGACCGCACTTTGTTGGGCGGAGGCGAAATTAATTTTAATAAGTTCCGCATTCGGTGAATTGATTTCCTGGGACTTGACGAAATTCAGTGGCAAGAATAAACCCGTCTATCAGACAATTCACACCTGTCATAATCGAGGATTATTTTGCATCGCGACGGACATTCAGATCGAGAATAAGGATCGTCAACAAAACTGGAGGGAAAAGAACTCGTTCGTATTGCTTTCAATCTTTTTCTAACAATTTCTATTATTTTTTACGTTCGTATTGCTTCAATGTTCTTCTAATAATTTCTATTATTATTTACGTTCGTATTCCTTCAATGTTCTTCTAACAATTTCTATTATTTTTTACATTTTTTAAGAGAAATAATAATGATTCAATTTCTATTATTTTTTACTTTTTTTAAACAGAATCAATTTCTTTTATTTTTCATTTTTTTAAAAAGAAATAATAATGAATCAATTTCTAGTATTTTTTACTTTATTTCAGAGAAATAATAATTTTAAAAAATAATGAAACTAATGAAAGAAATGAATTTTTTGATAAAATTAAACGATTGTCTAAATTTTAGAAGAAGAATTTGGACCCTCGGGCAGGATCGACAGGTAATTTGTTGCGATTTACTAGAAGACAAATCAACAATGGAATATCGAATTCCAACACAAGGCGGTTATGTCTATTGTCTCGCTGCTTGTCCCCTGGATACGACACAAATTGCCTTCGGATCGGGAGACGCAATGTTGCGAATTTGGAATCTGTCCGAACCGCACGAGTCACAGTTTGAAATTGCGACACTCTGGCAGAAAATTATGGGAAAAGTCAGAGCCGTAAGTAATTGAACTTATTATTTACTTTGCATTATAATTAAATTAAATAAGTTTTGTGAAATTTTATTAAAATTTTGAATTTCAGTTGTCCTGGCACCCGGAGAAAGAAAATCTCCTCGCCTTCGGAACTGGCGAGGGTCGAATCGGAATTTACGATACAAACGCAAAGAAACCACCACTTTTGTACAGACAATATCACAGAAATGTTATTTATTCCCTTCACTGGGGACCAGCACCCGACGTTCAATTGTACGCCCTTTATTCTTGCGGCGATGGTGAATTGGTCTTTTATAATCCTGAAAATCCTGATAAGGGTGAGTTTGACAAAACAAAATTTAAACAATAAATAATAAACGAAAAATTGTAAACTAAATTTACTAAATTCTAAAGTAAATTGAAAAGTGAATTTTAAATTAAATTTTAAACTTAATTTTAAAATAAATTTTGAACTTAATTTTAAACTAAATTTTAAACTTAATTTTGAACTTAATTTTAAACTAAATTTTAAACTAAATTTTGAACGTCATTTTAAACTTGAATTTAAAACCAAATTTTTCAGATCCAAAATCGGTGATAAAGAAGGACTGCACGGAATTCGCGTGGAAACCGGATTATTCCTGCATGGCTGTTGGTTCGGAGCACGGGAAAATTTCCTTCTTCGATCGTAATTTAAAGGAACTTGAGGATTGTATTTATAATCCTTTAAGAACTGCTGTTCATTGTTTGGCATGGCATCCGGAGAGTACGGAGACGGATTTATTGATGTCGCCGTTACAAAATTATTTAGCCGTTGCTTTTAATAGTTCAACGATAACTATTTTTGATATTTGCAATTTAAAAGTGAGCACCGAGGAGAAGGAGACTGTCAACGACGACGCGACGACGGAATCAAAAGCTTTTTACAAAACAGTCGCTATTTTATCCGGTCACACCGAGAAAGTTGTCTCTCTCATTTGGAGTCCACATCAAAGTGGATTTTTAGCTTCTGGCAGTTATGATAATACAGTTCAGGTATTCATTTTTATTTCCAATTTCGCAATTTTTATTGTTAGCAGTTTTTTATTTACGAATTTTTATTTTTATCAATTTTTATATTCTTTCCAGTTTTTTTTTATTCTTTTTTCGAATTTCCTTTTCTCAAAAGAATGAACGCTTTTTTTCAGATTTGGAAAGTGGAGACTCAGGAGATAATCAGCACATTCACGGGACATCAGGGTCCAGTTTTCTGCTGCATGTGGAGTCCGCTCGATCCTGATTTCATGATATCGGGTTCGGCCGATTTTACCGTTCAAATATGGAAAATTTCCGAGCAGGAGGCAATAATGCCAACGGAGAAACCAACGTCGAGGAAAGTAAAGACAAAAAAGAAGAAGAATAATTTAGAAAGAGCCCTGACATTGAAGAGCAATGACAATGAAGACGAAACGTCGAAATTGAAACCCAATGAACAGCAACAAACAGTTTTGGAAAAGAAAAATAATTCGAAGAAAGATTCCAAGAAACGGGAATATTTTACAGTTTACAGTAAACGTTTAAACACAAAAACGTCTGTTTTAGAATCTATAAGAACTCTTCTAAAGAGTGTAAAAAGAGAAAATGAATTGGAGGAAGAGAGTAAACAAAAGGAGGGAGAAGAGGAAGAAATTGCCGAAAAAGGAAAAGCGGGAGAAAATAGTGGAAAAGTAGAGGAAAATAGTGAAAAACAGGGAGAAAATAGTGAAGGAGTGAAGGAGAATAGAGAAAAATTGGCGGAAACGATAGAAGAAATAGTAGAAGAAAAGGAACGAAAAGAAGGAAAGGAAAAAGTAGAAAGTGGGAAAATTAAGGAAATTAAAGAAACTAACGAAGTGACGGAATCTAATGATAATGACAAACAACTAGAATCTAGAGAGACAAATGTGCCTTCTATTTTTGCTGGAAAAGAACATGTTTTAGATATTATTAAAGAAGAAAGTAAGATATCGTGAAATTTTCAGACTTCGCACTCGAATTATACTATTTACTATTTTTTTTAACAAAAACAATTTTTTTTTTTGTAAAATAGTAAATTTCGATTTTTAATAAATCTGAGATTTAAATGAATATTATTTTTTACAGAACCATTTTTGAATTCTCGTGGACAGTACAATGCAGTATTAGAATTGGACGTCTGGTGTAACAAATTGATGGAAACTCTAAGGGATGCTGTAAAGGAGAAGAGATTAACTGACTATCTTGTTTCACTCGCTCCATCCTTGTCAATGAAGTAATTTAAAAATTTCAATTAAAAATTTCGATTATATAGTTGATATAAATTATTTAAATATGTTTTCAGAGAAGAAAAATATCTAATTAATATTTTCAATTAAAAATTTCGATTATTATATAGTTGGTATAAATTATTTAAATATGTTTTCAGAGAAGAAAAATATCTAATTAATTTTGTTTACATTCTCATAAAAAAATGAGAAGGTCTTGTTTTTATTTTCTAATTATTAATTTGTATTGAAATTATAATTTTTCAGAACTTGGCAAGAAATGTGTGAGGCGTACGCGATGCAATTGATAAGCGACGGACATATCAACAAAGCGGTTTGTTATTTATTAAAAATTCATCGAATTCATCAAGCCGTTGGTGCATTTTTTAATGCGAAAATGTATAGAGAAGCTTATGCACTCGCAGCATTAAAATTGGATCCACAAGATCCGCTGGTTGAGAGTATTTTACGAGATTGGGCAATTAGTACAACGAGAGAAGGGAGTTTCGAAGAGGCTGTACAATGGTAATTTTTATTTAACACAATTTTATTAATTAAAATCTAAATTGATCAAAAATTTGAGTTAAAAACTAAATTTTTCGTTTCCTAACTATTTTAATAATTTTTCTTTTTAAATGTTTTCAATTTTAAAATTAATGTATTGAAAATAATTGAATTCTTGCAAAGAATTTCAAAGAAATAGTCGTATTTATGAGAATGCAACGTTTAATTTTCAGTTACGTGAAACTTAAGGACTTCAAGAAAGCCGCTCAATTGCTCTCGCGACGGAAAGAAGTTCCCTTTTTGGATGTGGCCGCTGAATTGGCAGAAATGGGCGAAGATTTTAAATTAAGTGACTCATTGGCAGAACAAGCTGTCAATGAATCTCTCCTGATTTCCGATTTTGAAACGGCAAATTCAATATGTGAAAAATATTCGCGAATCCGACATCGTCAAATTCACGTGAATGTATTTAAAGTCATTAAAAAGACTCTCGACATTTCTAGTCCAAAATCAATTTACGATTGGCTAGAGGGTAAATCAAAGAAGAATGGAGTTTTGGAAAGTCTGCAAGATTTTTCAATAAACGCGGATTTGTATTTGGAACTCGGAAAATCGATATTTAACGCTCCGCCGAAATGCGAGAATGAGGTGTGTAAAATTAAAAATTTTTTTTGTTTTGAAATTAATTGAAATTCGAATTAATTAATTAAAATTCGAATTAATTAATTGAAATTTAATTTAATTTGAAAGTAATTAAATAATTGAAAATTAATTTAATTTGAAATTAATTACTTAATTGCAAAATAATTTGTAGTTAATTAATTCAAATCTAATTTAATTTGAAGTTAATTAATTGAAAACTAATTTAATTTGAAGTTGATTAATTGAAAATTAATTTAATTCGTAGTTATAATTAATTAAAAATGACTTTTGTACGACTTATTGTTTTCGTTTCTTTTTTTTTCAATTATCTGCTTTCAATTACAGATGTGGATAAACGTGAGTCATCAAATATCATTGGCAGTGCTGTCAGACAATGAAAATCAACTCTCAAAGCATATTCTAATGGCCCTGCAGATGATTTGCTTGTACGAAAAGACCCAGTATCATCGAGACGAGACGTCGGAGAGTTTATTACTAAAATTCCTGTCGATATTGGAAAATAAAGATCCTTCCTCCGAGGACAGTTTATTTTCAAAGAAAAACGAGAGAATGAAAGCCCTCCGAGCTTATTTATGTTATGGTTTTCTAAACTGGTTCACGGAAGAATATTTAAGGAAGGAAGATACAGAGAAGAATTATGATTTTATGATCAATACGATTGAAAAATACATTAAGGACGTTTTCGATAAGGAGGCCGTTAAGCATTGGACCGGCGTCAATGAAATTGTCAAACTCGAAGCTTTACTTGCTCTAAATATAGGTAAGTACCCGATAATTATAATTTATTACAATTATAACTACTAATTATAAAAACGATTATATATAAATATTAATATTAATTAGGTGCCTATTAACTAATTATTTAATGGTCTTAATTACTTTCAAACTTTTTTATTGAATTCTTAGAAACAATTCAATTATTTTCAAAAATTGTGATTCCATTCTTAGAAACAATTTAATTATTTTCAAAAATTTTAATTCAATTATTTATAAGAATTCAATTATTTACAAAATTTAGGCACAATTTCATCAAATGACAATAAAATGAAATTTGACAATTTCAATAAAAATTTCTTGATGGAATTTAATTATTTTTTTAACTGCATCAAAATACTTGGCATGAATTCAATTATTTTCCAAAATTTTAATAAAAAATTTGGTCAAGATTTCAAATATTTTCTTTAAATACTAAAATTTTTCTCAAGAATTCAATTATTTTTGCAAATAATAAAACACTTCGCAAAAATTCAATTATTTTTATAAATAATAAAATTCATCGAACAAATTCAATGATTTTCAATATGTACAATTTTAATAAAATCCTGCTAAAGAATTGAATTAATTTCCTTGCAATTTTAATTAAATTTCTTAATAGAATTTAATTAGTTTAAAAAATTTTAATCAAATTATTGTCAAGAATTCAATTTTTTGCAGAACTTTAATTAATTTCAAAAAATTTATTAAACTTCTTCCAAAGAAATTAATTATTCTCATAAAAATATAACAAAATTTTTCTCAGGAATATAAATTATCTTCAATAGAAGTTACATGAAATTCCTCGAAAGAGTTCAATTATTTTTAACAATTTTATTAAAATTCTTCGAAATAATTGAATTTTTAGAAAAATTTTAATATAATTCTTCGTAAAAATTCAATTATTTTCATGAATATTAAAATTCTTCGTAGGAATTCAATTATTTTCAAAAAATTTGTAATAAAATCTTAAAAGAATTCAATTTTCATAAATAATAAATTCTTCGAAGCATTTCAATTATTTTTAGTACAATTTTAATTAAATTCCTCGATAAAATTCAATTATTTTTACCAATTTTTTTTTAAATTCTTCGAAAGAATTGAAATTTTTCAAAAATTTTTATAAAATTCTATTCAAAAATTCAATTATTTTAATAAAAAGTTGAAATTCGTAACAATTAAACTATTTTCAAAAAATTTTAATTTAAAATTCTTTGTGAAAATTTGATTAATTTAAAAAATTTATTAAAATTAAATTACTTTCAATATCTACTATTTAAATAAAATTCCCTAAAGGAATTGAATTATTTAAAAACATTTTTATGAATTTCTTCGTGAGAATTCATTATTTTCTTAATTTAATAAAATTCTTCTCATGAATTTTATTATTTTTCTAAAATTTTCCTTAATTCAATGAATTTCAAGATCTATTATTTTAATAAAATTTTCCAAATGAATTTGATTATTTAAAAAAAAATTTGTTAAAATTCTACGGAGGTATTCAATTATTTTTATAAACAATAAAAAATTTCAGAGAAATTCAATTATTTTCTTCAATAATAAAACTCATCGCATAATTTCAATTATTTTTTATATAATTTTAATCCAATTTTTTCGAAAAATGTAATTATTCTTAAAAATTTTATTAAAATTCGTCAAAAGAGTTCAATTATTTAAAAATTTGTTGATTTGTTTTCTTCAGAAATAATTGAATTTTTAAAGGTTTCAAATTAAAATCTTCAAAAACTTCAATTTCAAAGATAATTGAAAAATAATTTTGTTTAATTATTCTTTGTTAATATTCAATCTTTAAAACATTAAAAACTTTAAATTTCATCAATTTTTAAAATTCAAAAAAATTTTAAAAATTTGACAGGAAAAACTCAAACTCCAGAGGATGAAAAATTAGAACCCGCCTTGACTGTCGAACGACTGGATCATTTAAGATTCGATGGTAAACAATTTCTGGAGAATCGAGTATCAACACCAAATCCAATGGACGCCTACGTTGCCTCACTTGATTTTATCAATCAAATTTCAAACGAAAATGTGAAAATTCAAGTGAAAAAATTAATAGACGACGCTTGGCAAGAAGCTGCCCTTTAATTTATTCTTTTGTAAATACGTTTTTAAATTAAGTTTTTTTTTTAAAAAAAGAATTTAATACTTCGTTTTTATACGATGTTAATTATGTAATTAAGAATTCGTAATTATTATTATGTCATAAATCGTAATTTTTAAATCCGAAGAAAAAGAATGTTTAAAGAAAAAGTATTACGACGTGAAAAACGTAAATATCAAATAAAAATCTATTTAAATCTAGAAGAGAATTTAATTTATCAAAAAACAATTTTCCAATTTTTCTTTTTTCTATTTCTTCTTGTTAAATTTCGCCTTCTGCTAATCAATATTGAAAAAATCCAAAGTAACGTGGAAATTAAGAAAACGAACGACTTAAATTATTTAGCAATAGTTTATTTTACCTTAAAAAAAACAATCAAGCAAATTTACTTCTTTTTCTCTTGTTGTTGTTGTTTGCTTGGCTTTGCTAATCTTTTAAGTCTGAAGAACGCGGATGTTCTCAATTTGTTGCGAATTTGCTTCGCCTTTCGTAGTTTGAAGCGGTCAAAATCGCTCAACGCGGCTCTCTGTAAAAAACAGAAACAAAATTAATCAAAAAGGGAAAAAAGAAAATTATTTATTATTATTAACATTAATATTATTATTGAGTATTAATAGTATTAAATATTAATTAGTATTAATATTATTAAGTATTGATAGTATTAAATATTAATTAATATTAAATAGTTTTAATATTATTAAGTATTAAATTAATCAGTTTTAATTTTTCAAAAGTAGAAAAATTTTACCTTCTTTTTTGCCTCAACTTTTTTAGCCCACATCGTTGAAGCCCATTTCTCATCAACTTTAGCGGATGTCCATGCTTTTCGGACAACTCGTGTACTTCCTGTGCGTGGCATATTTATTTTCAATTTCGTCAAATGCAAATCTGAAAGTCGCATTTGTCCTCTATGGATTTTATGAGCCGGTCCATCGATCAAAACCTGAAATTGAATCAAAATTAAGGACAATTTTCAAAGGGTGTTTCAAAATACTTTCAAAATATATATTTAATGTTGAATATTTAAATATTTAAACGTATTAAATGATAAATTATTCAGAAAAAAAATAAATACTCTGTTTTGATCGATGATGTCAACAATGGAGACCAATTTTCCCTTCTGTGGTCCATTGTTAACATAAGCAACTCTGCCAGTCTCCACAAATCGTTGGAATCCCTTCTGCAAAAATTTGGCAAAAAATTAGTAAATATTTTTACAATTTTTAATTAATTATTACCAATTGTATAATTATATATAAATAATTACTAAATCTTTAAATTTTCTCTACTTTGCAGGAGAGAATTATTCAAATTAAATTTAGAAACTCTTTTTTATATATAAAAAAAAAAATTAATAATTGAACGGACTTCTGACGCTTCTGCAAAAACTAACCTCAAAATACAAAAAACCATTATAAACATCGCAGTCGAATATTTACTAACTCAGTTATTCTATAAATATTACGACAATAATATTTTCCACGTTTCACATAATTTTCTTCGTGCATTGAAAAATTTTAGCGCAAATCAAACGAATATTTATTGTACTTTTTCTAACAACCACATGGCATTCCGACACATGGGACAATATTGTTTTTTACCCAAAACAGGAGAAAAATCATTGGAAAAAAATTGGGGAAAATTTACATCAATGTATAAAAAGTAATAAAAATTATTTCACTTACCATTTTTATTGAAAAAACTGGATAAATTATCCAAAATTTAATAAAACACTACACTCCTTACTGGAGGACAATACGAAAAGAGCAAGAGCAGGAAAAGAAGGTTTACCAACTTCGAACGTCAGATGTCACTCTTCGAATTTTTGAATAATTTTCTTGTGATAAAATTTCAATATTAATTTCATTAATTTAATTAATAAGAAAAAATATTGTTTTGATAATAAAATTTGCTGTTAGTAAATTGGAAAAGTAATAGTAAATTGAAATCACACTGTTTAAATATTTAGAAATTTATAAATAACTCGTATTAAATATTATTTGCATTTTTGCAACCAGAATTTTATTTTATGGGTCGTGTGAATTAGCCCTAAAGTCCAGGGTTCGGAACGTAGTTGTGACAGAAGCATAAAGGTCCAATCACACGACTTTTGGAAAACTCGTGCTTGTCTATCTCTCCCCTGTGAAAACAGCATAAGTTTTTTCCAAAAAGCGCGGAAAATGTAAAGCGAGACAAACTTATGCGACTGTCATAGAAGAGAGAAAGACAAGAAGACAAGTAGTTTTTCCAAAAAGACATGTGAATCATGTGATCCCACCCTAAGACCACGTAAGGTCACATTTGACTTTCCAACCTTGACGCCCTGGGATTTTTTGGCCATAAAAGACGGAAAAATGTTGAGTGCGAAAGACAAACTTGCATTTATAGAGAGAATCTGATTTATTTCAATGAAATTTCGGCACAATAATACTTATTCAATAGAATTTAGAATAACTATTGTTTGACAAAAGTATAGTAAGTCAAAAATAATATTATGAGTGTTTTAGCTCTGTTCTCTACAATAAAAATTTCTATATATATGCGATAATTTATAGAGAAACATAACCTCTAAATAACAATCATCATAATAATAACAAACAGACGCGCGGAAATTCTTATTATCAATATTTAAGAAAATTCGTATGTATTCCCGATTTTTAGTAACGGGAGGAGTTGTGAAGGTGATGCTCCTAAAATGGGCGATTATCGGGCTGGCCTAGAAGAATTAAAACTGGATAGTGCACTCTTCGCCAACGTGAAATACTACGTCAGTGGCGAAGGGGACCCTAAAGTATGTTTTTCATTATATTTTTCCCGCAATTTGTTATTATTAATCATAAGTTTGAGACTTTTTTTCTTTAACTATTCTTATTTCTCGAGGTGAATGAAAAGAAAAGTTTACTTGTTGTTTACTTTGATATTGTTTGAGATGTGTAAAAACAAACAAAGAAACGGCTTTTCATTGTCCATTTAATGTCATTACAGTATGTAAAACAAAAGTGGTAGTTTTTCTATTTCTACTATTTTCTTTGTTGATATTTTTAAAGAAAGTTTTGTGTTTTAATTGAAAGAATTGATCATTTCTCAATCATTTCTTGAGATTTAGACAAAAATTGAGATTTTGTTGCAGATATTAAGTTTATTGCAAGAAGGAGGAGCGGAGAGATCGAATTATTTCAGTGATTTTGTAACACATTTAATAGCAGGTTACGAGGCAATAGAAAATGATATTTCTGCCGCCAAAGATCTGTATGAAATCCCGGCTGTTACTCAAAACTGGGTTGTATATTCTGCCAAATGTCAGAAGTTACTTCCGTATCCTTTTCAATTTATAGACAATTTTTATTTGTATATAATAATCAATATCAATAGATAATAGATCAATAATATTAATATTAATAATATTTAAATAAAATATTAAATCTTCTTCTTCTTCTTCTTCTTCTTCTTCTTCTTCTATATTAATAATCGTTGTATTCCGATACTCTGTCCGCAGTTTGAAGTTAGTTTTTTCCTTTTTTGTTTTCTAACTTTTTTAATAATTTTTCTCTTTAAATATTTTCAATTTTAAAATTAATGTATTGAAAACCATTGAATTCTTGCAAAGAATTTTAACAAAAAATTGGAGAATAAATTGAATTCCTTCGAAGAATTTTATTATTTATGAAAATAATTGAATTCTCGCGAAGAATTGTATTATAATTTTCTGAAATAATTTAATTCATTCATGAAATTATATTAAAATAAAAAAATGATAAAATTCTTTCCAAAAATTTCTATAATTCATTGAATATAATCGATTTTGTTAATAATTGTAATTCATAATTTTACTATTAAAATTTTATTAAAATTATTGATAGAAAATTAAACTCTTGTAAACAATTTTATTAATTTTTTTGTAAATAATTAAATTCTCTTGAAGAATCTTTTAAAGTTTTTTTTAAATAATGTAGTTTTTTGAATAATTTTAATTAAAAATTTTGAAAATAATTGAATCAAACAAAGAATTTTTTTCAACTTTTTAAAATAATCGTGTCTGCTAATAATTATAATTACATATTTGATTTTTGAAGTTTATTAAAATTGAATTAAAAAATAATTGAATTCATGAGAAAAATTTTATTATTTATTTATAAAAAGTAATTTAATTCTTGCGATGAGTTTTACTACTTATTAAAATAATTGAATTGATCGAAGAATTTATAAAAATTTTAGAAAATAATTTAATTTCTTCGAAAAATTAAAAAACAATTTTCAAAAAAATTCAATTATTTAATGAAATTTTAATAAAACAAATATAATTGAATTTATGCAAAAAATTTTACTATTTATAAAAATAATTGAATTGTTTTGGTGGATTAATTCAAAAATTTTAGAACATAATTGCATTTTTTCTAAAAATATTATTAAAAATTTGTAGAAAACTGAATTCTTTCATTAAATTTTATTAAAACTGTTTTAAGAATGATTGAATTTTTACAAAGATTTTCATTAATTTTAAAAATAACTGAATTGTTTTGAAGGATTTATTTAAGAAATTTTGAAAATAATTGAATTCTTTTGAAAAGTTCAATAAAAGTTGAATTCTTTTGTGAAATTTTATTAAAATTTTAGAAAATAAAATTCAATTTTTGCTAAAAATTTTATTAAAAATTAAAAATAACTGAATTCTTCCATGAAATTTTATCACGACTGTTTTAAAGGAAAATGGAATTTTTGCAACTATTTAAAAAAAATTGAATTGTTTATTAATATTGTAGTAAATGAATTATTTCTTAAATTTTATTAAAATTTTGTTGAAATTGAATTCTTTCGAAGAATGTTATTAATTATGAAAATAATTGGATTCTTGCGAAGAATTGTATTAAAATTTTTGAAAATACAGACAATAATCAAGTATGTACTTAATAAGTGAATTTTTTAAATTGTGATTTTGAATTTATTCAAAAATTTGAATTTAAAAATAAAATGTTTTGTAATCTGCAAAATAGTAATAAACCGAATAAGACGTTCGTTTAATTTGCTAGTTTAAATTTGAAAATTTGTTTTCCTTAACAGTAAAAAATGTTCAGAGTTCATTACTTCTCCCCGGAAGATAATCAACTTTTCTCCAATGTACAAGCATGTATTTCACAAGTAAGTCATGGAGATAGTAAAGCTCTCTGGGCTATGATAACATTTCAAGGGGGAAAGTGTCAGCTTCGATTGGATCGTTATTGCACTCACTTGATTATTGGAAAGGCAAGTGGCACCAAATACGAGATAGCATCAAAATACAATATTCAGATAGTCACACCCGACTGGGTTGTTGAATCCTCGAAAAAAAGGTCTCTCATCAAGGAAGCGGAGTTTCATCCACGCCTCTTGATGTATCCTTCGCCAAACAGTTCGACTGCATTAATCACTGGATTCATGGATGAAGACACACTCAATAATTCCACTCAAGAGGAGCAGGAGGAGACGAACGCCGTTCTAGAGCAACTAAAGCAACGCATGCCTTGGAATCAACCAAATTTACCAAACACCGAAGTTTCAACTCCCGTTTTCCAATCCTCAAATCCTCGAAATGTTATCAATAGTCAGCAACAGCAGCAGCAACAACAGCAACAACATTTTGTCCGCTCGGTTGCTGTCACAACTTCCTCGACAGTAAATCAAAATTTAATGAATCAGAATTGGATTCCATCAAATTCACAGGCAAATTTGTTGCAAATGAAGAGTCCCTTGCAAAATCAAATGCAGGAGTTGCAGAATCAGATAAGTCAGCAAATGAACGAACAAGTTAATCAAATTAATCAACAGGTCAATCAGGTTAATCAAGTCAATCAAGTGAATCAAGTAAATCAAGTAAATCAAGTGAATCAAGTTAATCAACAAGTCAACCAACAAGTGAATCAAGTTAATCAAGTTAACCAACAAGTGAATCAAGTTAATCAACTTAATCAAGTAAATCAAGTCAACCAACAAGTGAATCAGGTTAATCAAGTTAACCAACAAATAAATCAAGTCAATCAAGTTAACCAACAAGTGAATCAAGTTAGTCAACAAATGAGTCAGCATATTAATCAGCAAGTAAATCAGCACTTGAGCCAACAGATTAATCAGCAAATTAATCATCAAGTGAACGTACAAATGCAACAAATAGGACAGCAGCAAATTGCCCAGCAACAACTTGGTCAGCAGATGAATCAACAGAACTTTTCGCTTCAGAATCAGCAGCAAACTTTGATGACTACGCCTCAGCAAATAAATACGCAAATGTCTCAGTTGCAACTTAGTACACAACAACAGCAGCAGCAGCAACAACAACAGATGATAGTCGCTCAACAGAAGCAACTATTGGCCAGTCCGCAAATTACCCAACAGCAGACTCAGCAAATTAGTCCCCAGGGGCACTTGACGCAGCAGATTTCCCTTCAGCAATTGCAACCCACGCAGCAAATTCAGAATCAGCAGTTGTCGGTGCAAGGTCAGCAACATGGGCAACAATTGGGTGGACAACAACTTGGACAGCAACTGAGTGGACAACAATTGGCTGGGCAACAACTTAGTGGACAGCAATTAACTGGGCAACAACTTAGTGGACAACAATTGTCTGGACAACAACTTAGTGGGCAACAATTGGCTGGACAACAACTTAGTGGGCAACAATTGTCAGGGCAGCAATTAACTGGTCAACAATTGTCAGGACAGCAACTTACGGGACAACAATTGGCCGGACAACAACTTACGGGGCAACAATTGTCCGGACAACAACTTACGGGGCAACAATTGGCCGGACAACAACTTACAGGGCAACAATTATCAGGACAGCAACTAACAGGACAACAACTGCAAGGCCAGCAAATAAATCCAACCCACCAACTAAATCAAACGCCTCAACAGCCACTAACCCACGAGCAAAGACAACAACTAATGATCCTCCAGCAGCAACAGCAACAACAACAAAAAATCCAGCAAATATCCCAACAACTCCAACAATCAGTTCCCCAAACCTCACAACAATTCGTCATCCGCGACGGTCAACTACAACAACAAACACCCGGCCAACAACTAATAAATCCAACCCAACAAAGTTTCATCGTTCAACGAGACCCCCAATGGCAACAACAACAATACCATCTCCAACTGCAACGACAACAATCCCAACAACAAATCGGCCAACAACGCCCCGGAGGACAATGGACCCAACAACCTCCCCAACCCCCGCGACAACTAATTCAACTCGACGCCCAAACTCACCAACAACTCCAACAAATGGATCCCCAACAACGAGCCCAATTCATTCAAAAAATCCAAAAACAAAGAACCCTCCTAATGCACCGCCAAATGCACAACCGTCAAGCCCAACAAGGTCCCCACATCGCCGTAATTCGAAGTCCCGGAAAGCCCGGACAACCCGGAATCCAATGGGTCCAACAACCCAGGCCCCCGATGATCGGCCCTCAAGTCGCTCCGGCCGCTGGTCAAAAACCAATGCACAGTGTTCAACCACCAGCACTCACGCCTATCAATACCCCCAATCAGGTCATCGTCCAGACCCAACCTGTCTCTCAAGCCTCTCAAGCCACCGCAACCTTCCAACCTGGACAACAATTAACACCCCAACAATTCACTCAACTGCAAATTCAAAAGCAACAGCAGATGGCGAGACTTCAACTGCAGCATTTGCAACAACAGCAACAGCAGCAACAACAACAGCAGCAGCAACAGCAACAACAGCAGCAGGGGGCGCAGCAAGAAGCGGCTTTGACGGCTTTACCTGGCAGTAATCAGATTTCACCGGAACAACAACTTGTTGTTAATGCTAAGACAAAGACGGCTTTGGCGAATATGCTGACGAATAGATTGCAAGGTGGTGCTACGGAGGGAAGTGCAGCGGGACAGTTGAGATTGATGACTGCACAGCATAGACCGCCACCGCCTCCGTCGCAAGATCCACAGCTCTTGGCTGCTTATCAGCGGAGAACTCTGGGGAATATTACGAATGGAGCGCCTGTTGGGGGACAGATTAAGATGCAATACACTCCGGCTATGCCGCAACCAAAGGCGCAATTTTATGGGCATAATCCGAATTTGAAACGTGAGTTTTATTCAGTATTTTTTTATTTCTTTCTGTCTCTGTTCTCTCAATTTTATTTTATTTCTTCTATTTGTCTATTTCTATTTTATTTTATCTGTTTATTTATTTATTTATTTACATTTCTATTTTATTTCTATATATATTTAATTAACTCTATTTCTTAAGCAGGATTGCAACAGGTCAGAGAAGTCAGGGAATTCAGAAAAGGGATTTTTATTAGAAGTACTGGAAAAAATTAATTTTTAAAATTCATAAGAAAATTCCGGATTTTTGTGTCATTTTTGTTTGCCTCATAAACTATAAAATTACTAATTCAATTATTTAAAAAAAAAAAACTTTATTAAAATTTCTCTAAATGATTCAATTACCAAAACTTTTTCCCCAGAATTTTAATAAATTGAAAAAACTTTCATAAAATTAGAAACACAATTATTTTTGTAAATAAAAAAATCTTGAGAGAAATTCAATTATTTACAAATAATACAATTTTTCACGGAAATTTAATTATTTAAAAACAAACAAAAAAACATATAATTATCTTTATAAATAATAAAATTTTTCTATAAAATTCAATTATTTTTAAAAACTTCAAAAAATGCTTGGCAAAATTTAAATTATTTTCAAAAAATTTTCCTCGAGTCAATTATCTTCAATATTTAGTATTTTAATAAAATTTTCCAAAAGAATTCAATTATTTAAAAGTAATCAAAATCATCGAAGAATATTTTAAAAGTAATTGAGATTTGATAAATTCTTTTTAAAATAATTGGATTTTTGTAAAATTTGTTTTAAAAAAATTGAAATTTTGGTAAATTTTTCTGAAAATAATTGAAATTTTGTAAAATCTTTTAAAAGTAATTGAAATTTGGTAAAATCTTTCAAAAATCATTCCAATTTAATAAAATCTATTCAGAATACCTAATTACAATTTTGGTAAATTTTTTTAAAAGTAATTGAAATTTGATAAAATCTTTTTAAAATAATATGAATTTTTTGTAAAAATTTTTTTTAAATAAATTGAAATTTTGGTTAATTTTACTGAAAATAATTGATTTTTGGTAAAATCTTTTAAATTAAGTAATTGTAATTTGTTAAAATCTTTTAAAACATTCAAATTTAATGAAATCTTTTAAAAATAATTAAAATTATGGTAAATTCTTCTTAAAATAATTGAAATTTGATAAAATCTTTTTAAAATAATTGAATTTTTGGTACAAATTTTTAAAAAATAATTGAAGTTTGATAAAATGATTTTAAAATAATTTAATTTTTGTAAAAAAATTTTTAAAGTAGTTGAAAATTTGGTAAATTTTTCTGAAAATAATTGATTTTTGGTACAAATTTTTAAAAATAATTGAAATTTGATAAAATGATTTTAAAATAATTTAATTTTTGTAAAAAAATTTTTAAAGTATTTGAAAATTTGGTAAATTTTTCTGAAAATAATTGATTTTTGGTAAAATTTTTTAAAATTAATTGAAATTTGTTAAAATATTTTTAAAATAATAATTTCCTATAAAAGGAAATTTTTTGAAAATTTAAATTTACTTTGTCCAATGATAATTAAATATTAAAAATTTTTGATAGAACAAATTTAAGAATTAGTTTTTTTAAAATATTCTAATGTAATTTATCGAAAGTAATTGAATTTCTTAAAAGATTTGTTGTATAATTTAAAAAACAAACTAATTAATTCTTGTAAGACTTTTATTTAAAAATTTTAAATATGATTTTTTTCCCAAAATGTTAAAAATAATTCGAAAAAAATGATTATCTTATTATTTTTTGTCTATATTTAAATTTTCGGAAATATTTAATTGAAAATATTGAAAATAATTGAATTTGGAAAAATTAGAATGAAAAAATTCTAATAATTGCTTTTTTCGAAAAATACCTATTTGACAAAAATTTTTAAAAGCTAATTTTTAGTAATTTTATATTTTTAAATTTACACTTGATTTTTATTAAAATTTTTGAGTATATTTGAGTTATTTTCAATTACATTTTACAAAATTTAAATTTTGTTCCGAATCTTTTTAATTTTCCATTGAAATTTAAAAAATTTAATTAGAAAAATTATTTAAACATTATTTTTTTTAAAAAAAAAGATTATTTTATTGGTCTCTGGTTATTTTTCGCACAATAAAAACCGAAATTGCATTTTATACTAAATATGTAATATTTCGTTGTAATATTTCGAAGAAAAGTAGAGAAAGTTGCAAAATTTGAAAATATGTTGATAAAAGTGGATTTTTTTTCTAAATAGTCGAAAAGAATAAAAAAAGTCATTTATATCTTAATTTTTGTCTGTATTTGAATTTTCAGAAATATGTAATTGAAAATATTGAAAATAATTGTATTTGAAAAAATTAGAATGAAAAAAATTCTAAGAATTGCTTTTTTCGAAAAATATTTGACAAAAATTTTTAGAAGCTAAATTTTGATTCATTTTTATTTTTAATTACCGAAGGAAACAAATTTCGATTTACAGAGTTTGATTACAATTTATTTACTATTTTTCTAAAAAATAATTTTTCAACTTTCAGTGCCGCCGGATTTATTTCTTCTCGGATGTATATTCGTGATTGTCGAATACGACACACAAAATCCAAATGAGGTGTCCGTGTGGAAACAAGTGATTGAAAGACACGGTGGGGAAATTGAACCACAATATTGTGCACGTGCAACTCATGTTCTTTCCATAACGCAAAAGCATCCAATTGTTATTCAAGCTCTTCGAGAGGGAAAACGTTGCGTCAGTGCCCATTGGCTTTCAGATGTTGTCAATAAGCAACAAGTGCTTCCACCATGGCATGCTCTTCATTTTCCAACGCACTTCAGTCTCACTGAATTTCCATGCAACAAACATATCATATCGCTGTCTGGCTTCGAAGGCGAGGAACGCTCCAAAGTTAAAATCATGCTGGAGACACTCGGCGCTAAACTCACTGTTTACTTTTCGAAACACAATACTCTTCTTGTTTGCAGAAGGTGAGTAGTTTTCGTGCTAAATCTACTTTTCGAAGAAACTGGATAAAAAAATAATAATTAAAATAAAAAATAAATAAAAATAATTGAAAATATTTTTAATAATAATCGATAAACTTTAATATTCCAGACCCGATGGTGCGAAATACAAAAAGGCGAGAGAGTGGCAAATTAACGTTGTAAATGCCCAGTGGTTAACGGATTTACTCTGTGGACAAATGAGTGCTTTACATCAAATTGACGCCCCAAAATATCAGCAGTTCAGTTTGGGAAATCCCTTCAGACTGGATTATTCACTTGTGCCACAACTTATGGGTAAGAAATCCTTGTGATCACTGTGAAAATTAGAAAGAGAAGATTCTATAAATTTTCTATTTACAGCTGCCTGGAAAATGCCAATAAACATAACTCAAGAATCATACGACAAAGTAAAACAAGTTGGACAAGGACCAAATGCACTGAGAAAATATAAGAAACCTAGATTAGATGTTCCATTAGCAATTAAGGATCCACATTTACTTGGTCTTGACGAGCCCATCGTGGTCTGTAATCCCGATCCTCCGCCACCTGAGAAGCAACCGAGAATTCTATTCTCTGGAATTGATCCTAGAAAACATGCAAAGGTTCGCACAGTACATTTAATTTTAATTACAAAAATACGAACATAATTTCCCGAAACGTTTTCAAAAAATTTAATATAATTTTTATCAAGAGTTCAATTATTTTCATAAATAATAACATTCTTTGGAAAAATTCAATTATTTTCAATAAATTATCACCACTGCAATTCAATTTTTTTCTTAATTCATTATAAAATTTCTCGAAAGGATTCAATTATTTTTGAAAATTTAAATAAAATTCAGGAAAAAATTTCATAAAATTCAATGAAAATTATTAAATAGAAAAAAAAGTTTCACAAAACTTAATAATAATTCCCTGACCTTTCAATGACTTCTTAATTCAATTATTCAACATTTGACTAATTTTAATTTCCAAAATTTAATTATTCTCAACAATTTTCAACTAAACTTCGACTCTAAATCAATTTTTTAAAAGTTCTTCGACAAACTCAATTATTTAAATAAAAAAATTCAATTTTTATATAATAATTATAATTTTTTTTTAAAGTTTAATATTTTCAAAAAAATGGACTAAAGAAATTGCAAAAAAAAAAATTTTTTACAAATATTTTAAAATAATTTTTTAAACATATAATAGTTTTTCAATTGAATACAATTTGAAAATTTCCAAATAATTCAAAATGTGGTAAATTATTTTTAAAATAATTGAAATTTTTGTAAAATCTCTAAAAAATAATTGAAATTTTGGTGAAATCTTTTAAAAATAATTGAAATTTAATAAAATCATTTTAAAATAATTAAAATTTGGTAAAATCTTTAATAAATAATTGAAATTTTTGTGAAATCTTTTAAAAATAATTTAAATTTAATAAAATCTCTTTAAAATAATTGAAATTTAAGAAAATCATTAAAAATAATTGAATTTTTAAGAAATATAAAACAAAATTAAATTTAATAAAATCTTTTTAAAATAATTGAAATTGGAGAAAATAATTAAAAATAATTGAATTTTTGAAGAATTTTAATTATAAATATGAACATGATTTCCCGAAATATATTCAATAATTTCAATATAATTTTTCGCAAGAATTCAAATATTTTTATAAATAGTAAAATTTGTTGAAAAAATTCAATTAATTTCATGATAGAATTTTTTTTTTTTTATTCTTTATAAAATTTTTCAAAAGAATTCAATTATTTTCAAAAATTTTAGTGAAATTCTTTGAAGGTATTCAATTATTTTCAAGTTTCTTGATGAAAGACTTGACAAGAATTTAATAATTTTCAATAAATTAATTTTGAAATTTATGACATTTAAAAAGAAAATTATTTTAAAAATATTATGTTTAAGGATTTCTTTATTATAATTTTTTGAAAATATTATACCTGAATATGTTTTTAAAAATAGACAGTTGCAGTTTTAATTATTAAAAAAAAATTGAATTTTTGTATTTAGAGATGAAGTTTAGTTAAAAATTGGAAAAAATAATTGAATTTTGGAAGTAATTCTTACAAATTATTAAATTTCAGAAGGTTTTAGATTCAAATATTAAAATTCTATTTCCATTGAAAAAATGAAATGAGAAGTATTTATGTATTTAACAAAAATTTTTGAATTTTCCAAAAATTGAATTTTGAAATCAGTGAATAGTGAAAATCAGGGGAATAAAAAATGAAATTTTTGTGAGAACACTGAATTAAATAAACTTTTTTGATCCAAGGCCTGAAATATATATTTGTGTTTTGATGGGCTGAAATAAAATACACAAATATTTTATACAAATGTACTAATAATGAAATAATAATAATGAAATAATAATTATTAATAAAATAAATAGTAAAGAAATAAAATAAAAATAAATAAAAAATAAAATAATCGTCAATATTGTGATAATAAAAATAATATTTCATTAAATTTTGCAGAGAATTCGAGAATTGGGAGGCGCAATGGCTGCAAGTTGGAGAGACGCAACTCACTTAGTGATGCCTGCACCGATTCGAACCGTGAAATTTCTCTGCTGTCTTTCTCGCTGTAAATTTATTGTCACTCTTCAATGGCTTCTTGATTGTTACTCGAAGAATACGTTCGTCGATGAAACATCCTATATTCCTGGTGATTCTGAGTTTGAGAAAAACTTTAGCTGCAACATTCAGAAAGCTCTTACCAGCCCTAGTAGAGGAACTGTACTTAAGGTAAAACCTTTTCTCTTAATTAATTCATTAATCAATCAAACGAATTGTTTTTTACTTCGGGTCATTAAAAATAAATCTTTAAAATAATCCTAAATATAACTCGTAATTTTTTTGTCGTGTTAACGAATTCTTTTTTTTTTTGTTTTTCCAGGGAAAAACTAAATACAATCTGCGTAATTTTTTTGCCGTGTTAATGAATTTTTTGTTTTTACAGGGGAAAACTAAATATATCTAATCTGTAATTTTTTTGCCGTGTTAACGAATTTTTTTTGTCTTTCCAGGGGAAAACTAAATATAATTTGCGTAATTTTTTTTCCGGGTTAACGAATTTTTTCGATTTTCCAGGGGAAAACTTTTTATGTGACGCCCAGCGTAATTCCCGCTCCTTCGTCAATTGCCGAAATTATTGAAAGTGCCGGTGGCGTAATGGATAAGACGCGAAAATCCCTGGCTGCAATTCAGGAGATGAACAGTTCCGAATTGAATTACATTATAATTACCCATGAAAATGATCTTCATCTATTGGCCGACGTGATGCGGGCAAATATAAGTAAACGTCTTATTAAATTCAATTAATTTGTTTTTAATTTAAAAACTCGTTAATTTTAATTACTTTTCTTCTTCTTTCAGATATATTTACTGCTGAAATCGTTATGGGAGCAATTGCGCGACAATGCTTTAAAGTTGAGGATCTCACACAGTGAAGGAAGTCTCTCTAACTCTCAAAAAAATATTTTAAATTTCTCCCCAAAAAAAATGAATTTTTTCTTTTCGTGAATTTTAAAATTTTGGTCTCTGGGACAATAAAGATAAAATAATTTTTACGGTAAACCTAAAGGCTTATGCATCCTTTTTATTTGTTATGTCTATTTTTTTTTCTCTTTTTTTTTTGCTTTTTTTTCTAATTGTGATAATTATATACTTTTGAAAAGATTTGCTTCAATTTCTTCTCGCCAATAAGTTGTTTTTAAAACATACATATATTTAAGATTTAATGAATATAGTACTATAATGAGTGAAATTTATTATAGAGTTTAGAGTGTATTATCTTACTCGAAGAAGTTACGTTTTTTTCACAAAGAAAAAAAAATAATTATAAATTATCACATTTATTCATTCCATTTAAATACAATTATTGTCTTCAAAAAAAAAAAAAAAAGAAGAAGAAGAAGATGATGAAGAAGTTTGACGTAGATAAGTGTGAAACAATAACTTTCGGTAAAACTGAAAATTTACACTTTTAATTTTCTTTTTTGTAAAAATCGTTAATAGCACGACATACCTGTTTGGTATTTTAATTTTCTTCTTAAATCAGATTTTTTATGTGGTTTTAATTTCTTAATTAGATATTTTGGAAAGAAATTCTTGATACATTTGAAAAATTGTCTGCTGTTTTTATAGCGTCTTTTTGCATCCGATTCTGCCGCAAAAAATTGAATAATTACATTTCTAAATTAATATTTTATACATATATACATTATTACTGAATGTATTTAAGAAAAATTTAGTGTTTTATGAAAAATATTCTTCAATATTTAATTTTTGAATTTATTACAGTAAGTTTAGTTTCAGGTAATATAATATTAATAAAAGTATTTTATAAATTAGTTTCAGAATGTGTATATACTAAATGTATAATAGTGCAATAAACCAGATTTACAAGTGACAATTTTTCTTTATACAATTAAAAACTTATTTTACGTATTTTTTAATAAATAGATTAATTTTTTTATGAACTTTAAAGAAAATTTCTATATAAATCCTATAAATTAATAATTAATATAATTAGTTGAAATTTACATAGTAAAGTCCTTATACCGGTTCCAAATACATATACGTGTAAACCTGTGTGTGTAAACGATGCCAAATTGCCGACCGAGAAATTGACAACATAACCTAAAAATAAAGTTTAAAGTGCCGAAGTGCGTCGATCGCACGTTACTAAATATAATTTTTAATAAAAAAAAGTGTTTTCCATTTACATAAAAAATGGAAGAAATGGATATGTCGACTCCTAGTGAAGATGAGCTTCACAGTAAAAAAGGGGACGACATGGAAATAAATAAATGTGAAGAGAATGAGGATGAAAGCCGCATGATCGAGGATGTGCAAGAAATTGGCGATGACAGTGATGCGGTAAACAGTGATATTGATAAAGAAGATGAGGATATTGGGGATGACAACAACGACGTCGACGAGGACGACGAAGACGATGATGATGATGATGATGATACAAACGAGGCGGAGGTTAAAATTCTCGAAGAAACTCTATCAAAAAATCCCTACGATTACGCTTGTCATGTTGCACTCATCAATTTATTGTCGAAAATGGGTGAATTGGAGAGATTGCGAACCGCAAGGGAAAATATGAGTCGAAATTATCCCCTTACTCCAGAATTATGGCGTTCCTGGATGCAGGACGAGATTAAACTTGCTGTCACTCCGGAGGAAAAAAGTGCAGTCATCGAACTTTGCGAACGGGCTGTGAATGATTATTTATGTACGTTTTTTCTCTTTTGATACATTTAATTTAATAAATACATTTAACTTTTTAATACTTTTAACATTTTTTTTAGTACAAAAATTTCTAACAAAATTTGTTTTTTTTCTGATTACGATTGTTGCTTCTCTTAATCAGACCGGCTCTTAATACAAAACTTTTCACTTTTTTCAGCCGTTGAAATTTGGTTGGAGTATTTACAATTCAGTATTGGAAACATGGGCAATGAGAAGGATGCCGCTGAAAATGTTCGGCAATTATTTCAGCGGGCCTTAACGGCAGTCAGTGGGCATATTACGAAAGGTGCCATTATTTGGGAAGCTTTTAGAGAATTCGAAAATGTTCTCGTTTCAATGGTAATAATTCAAATTTGTTACTGTTTGCATTTTGGTTTCCTAACTATTTAAATAATTCTCCTTTTTAAATATTTTCAATTTTAATATTAATGTATTCAAAATCATTGAATTCTAGCAAAAAATTTGAAAATAATTGAATTCCTTCGAAGAATTTTATTATTTATAAAAATAATTGAATTCTCGCGAAGAATTTTATTAAAATTTTCAAAAATCCTAATTAAATTCTTTTGAAGAATTTCTTTGAATTTTTTTAAAATAATGGAGTTTCTTTAAGAATTTTAATTGGACATTTTGAAAGTAATAAACGACTATTTTGACTTTTTTTCAATTTTTAATCGACTAAAGAGACTTTTTTGTGCCTTAAACTCGATCCGAGGCCTGTAATAACAATAATAAGAATATCAAAGACTTTTTAATAAATAAATTTTTTATTAATAAGAATAAATTTTCAGATTGACATTTCCAATACAACAGAACGAATAAAACAACTCGATCGTGTCGGCAAACTCTTCAGTCGTCAATTGCAAGTTCCTCTGCTCGACATGGAAAAAACTCTGAATGAATACGAAACCTGGCGTTTAGGGGACGGCGCGACGTCAAGCATAGACTATCAAAATGTCATGAACAATTACGAGAGTGCTCACAAAAAATTGAGTGATCGTTTGCCCTTCGAGGAGAAACTTGTCTCCTCTCAAAATGAAGCCGAATTGCTAGACTCCTATAATGCCTACCTAATGTACGAGAAACGACAAACAGATCCCGGTCGTGTCATTGTTTTATTCGAACGAGCCATCGCAGAACTCACCATCGAGTCGTCACTTTGGTTGGAATACGTAACATTCCTGGAATCTCAATTGAAAATCGAAGACGTTTCCGATAGGGTTTTCAAAAGAGCCGCAAGAAATGTCCCATGGTGTGCGGAAATTTGGCAAAAACGAATCCGAAGTTATGAAAAGTGGAAGAGACCCGTCACTGAAGTGCAAGCAATTTTGGAGGAAGCACTTCAAGCTGGTTTCACAGTTTCTGATGAGTACAAAACTCTCTGGATTTTGTACTTGGAATATTTGAGACGAAGATTGGATGATATAACGGGAGATGATGAACGGGAAAAACAGATGGAAACGCTGAGGAAAACTTTTAACAAAGCCTGTGAATATTTAGCGAATTTTGGATTAGAGGGCGATTTGAATTGCGATATTTTACAATTTTGGGCGAGGACCGAAGCAATTCATGCTAAAGATATGGAGAAGGCGCGTCAACTTTGGGCTGATATTTTAACTCAGGGACATTCGTCGAAAGCTGCCAGTTGGCTTGAATTTATCTCCCTAGAAAAGTAAGTCAATTTAATTAATTTATTGCTAAGTCAGGATTGCCACTGATCAGGGAAATCAGGGAAAAGTCAGGAATTTTTATTCAAAGTTTCGAATAATTTTTCATCAATTAATAAAATTCATGTATCTAATAATTTTTAGAGTGAATCAGAATATTCCTTAGGGAAAAAGTGAAAATTTAGTCTTAAAATCAGGGAAAAGTCAGGAAAAAACAAAATTATATTGAAGTATTTCCATTGTGGAATAATTATTTCGATATTTATTGAATTTTTAATAATATACTTTAATTTTTTTTAATTCAAAAAAAATTCTTTTTCAGATGTTATGGAACAACGAAACACCTTAGAAAACTATATCCAAAAGCGTTGGCAGTGGTTAAAGATTGGCCGGAGAGTATTGGTAGTGCTTGGATAAATTTCGAGCGCGATGAAGGAACTTTGGAACAACTCGAAATTGCGGAAGTCAAAGTGAAGGAAAAATTGGAGAAAGTTCAGGAGGATCGTCTAAAATCGCAAACAACCACAGATGTTAATTTATTCTCGAAAGGCAAGAGAAAAGCCGAGGAAACGGGAAAAATGCGAAAACGAATTGGCGTCTCACCGCAAAAGATATCACGTCTCTCGATTAGAGACGAAAAAGAAGTTAAGTTACGAGAAAATATTCTAAAACCGGATCGAAAGAAAAAACCGATTGAAAAAGAAGAACCGAAAGTGGAACCACCTCCTGGATTTCAGGAGGAAAAAATGGAGGAAGACATGGGTCCGGAAGTTGATTATACGATTTCGATTTTTATTAGTAATTTAGATTTTACGGCAACTGAGGAAGATGTGAAGGAGGCTCTTGTACCTGCAGGTGAAATTACTTTGTTGAAATTGGTCCATGACTCGAAGGGAAGAAGTAAAGGTTTCGCTTATGTCCAACTTGCAAGCACCGTGAGTTTTCTTTTAAATTTACCCAGTGATTTTTTTTTCTTTTTGTTTGCGAATGTGTAAATAAAAAATTGTCTTTTTCAGGAAGCCGTCGAAGATGCTTTAAAATTGGACAGAGTAAAAGTTAAAGGCAGGCCTATGTTTATTTCTCGTTGCAATCCGGATAAGAGTTCGAGAGGACATGCTTTCAAATACAAATGCTCGTTGGAAAAAAATAAACTGTACATAAAAGGTAAATTGTTACTAATTTAGTCTTCTAAACTTTTTTATTATCTATAAATTATTTATTGAATAATTTTACTTAAATATTTCAAAAATTAACAATTGTTTTCTCTTTAGGACTGCCGGCTGTAATAACAAAAGAAGAATTAGAGGAATTATTCAAGCCACATGGATTAGTGGTGGACATTCGAATTCCCGTGTACCGCAATGGACACGCTAAAGGAATAGCGTACGTGGACTTTGAGAATGAAGCCGACGCCTCTAAGGCTCTATTGGCGACGGATGGTATTCAAGTCAAAGGTAAGGTAATTAGCGTTGCAATAAGTAATCCCAAAGAGCGCAAGAAAGAATCTCCCGACGAGGAGCAATTGGCAAAATCACTTGGTGGTCATCCATCGGGAAAGTCATTCTCTCATCCGAAACCCGCTCTCGCCTTAATTCCACGCAACGTTCAATTAACTTCCGTAAGCAATGGCAACACTTCGAAACCTGTCGAAGGAACTGCTGTTCCTCTAACCAATAAAGACTTTCGTGAGATGCTTCTTAAAAAGTAAGAAATATTGTACGAATTCTTTCCTCTATTGTGTAGAATACTTACATTTTTTTTATTTTGATATTTTTCTATTTACTAAAGATGTACTTTTCTATTTAGTAAAGATTTACTTTTCTACTTAGTAAAAGTATACTTTTCTATTTACTAGAAGTATATTTTTCTATTTACTAAAAGTATACTTTTCTATTTACTAAAAGTATACTTTTCTATTTACTAAAAGTATACTTTACTCTCAGTTAAACCGCTGCCTGCGGGAGTTGCTATGGTAACACACGAGAGTAAGAGAGCGAAAAGATCCGCTTTTCTCTCTCTCTCACTCCCGTTGCGCCTGCGCAGACAGCGGATTTCTGAGAATTTTGAACAATTCTGAGAATTTAAAGGCAGGACCACATTGGCAATTGTGAAAATAATTAATTTTGTCAATATTAACTAATAAGATGAATGCCACCAGTGTTCAAAACAGAGCATGTTTTCTACAAAATAAATACGTTTAATTTATATATAAATATAAATACAGTCTTATGTACATGTTGACGTATCAAAAAAAACTTACAACTATTCCTATTGTGATATTTACGCGAAAGCACAGTTTTACTCTATTTAAAGCGTGCAGCTTCCGTTCTGAAACTTCAAGCTTTATTTAATACATTTCACGAAAGTTACTCCGTGACGAAAGTTACTTCTTAGATCCGGCAAGGGACCTGGTGACATGTGGACTAACTTTACCCGATTGGTAAGAAAAGGACAGACGTATCTTCGTCCTTTTCTTACTAATGGGACTTTTTTTTAGTTAGTCCACGTGCCAGCAGGACCTAGATCAGTAAAACTTAAGCAACTTAAGGTGACCACTGAATAACATAACCTTAAGATAAGTCTTTGTGTCACAGAGCTTTTTACATGTTCATAAAGTTGGGGAAACTTTCGTCGAAGGAAATGGCTACCGGATAACAAAAAATTGTGGAGTAGGTGGTGAAATTGAAATAATTACAATTGTAATTGTGCAGTCGAGAAGTGTCGTTTATGCCTTGGTGGAGCAACAGGTGGCGTTGACTCTGGTGCGAGGAACCTTCTCGACATAAGCCATTTTTTTGCCCTACCGGCATGATAGTAGTACGTGTAAAGTAAGGCCAAAGCAGCGAGGGCAACCAATAGGCACGTACCGGCGATAATGAGACTGTACAGCCACCAGGGTGTGGGATATTCGGGTCCAAAGTCGTCCGCATCCGTCGACGATGGTGTCGTGGGTACTTTTGGTCTCGGCGGTAGTGTCGCTTCGTTATCGCCAATCGCAATGTCGGCGCACGAGCGAAATTCTTCCTGAGGACCACAGCCGACAGCACCTTTGATAGTGAAAATTCGCTTTAAAATTTAATTTACTATTTATTTACTTTAATTTACTATTTATTTACTTTAATTTACTATTTATTTACATTAATTTACTATTTCTTTACTTTAATTTACTATTTATTTATTACTACTTTTTTGCTACTACATATTCATATCGAAAACGCAAAATAAATCAAGAAAAGTCCGAAGCAGAATAAAACAGTAACGTGAACGTAACCATTGGATAGAAAAGGACGAACGTATCGTCTGTCTTTTTTTATTTCATGGTTGCGGCTCGTTTGCGCATTTTATCTGCGCACGCGAAACTTAAGCCACGCCTCCAACGGATATGACAATTGTCTCTATTCCGAAATTACGTAAAAGTGGAAATGAAAGTTTCAAAATTTCGTTTCAACTGTATATAATATATATTTAATTCGTATACGTAATTATTGTTTCATACATTTATTGTTGCACAATAATTTCGCATTATGAATTATGACAGAGTTAATGGTCACTTTCTAAAGAGTAATGCGCGCGGTATGAATTGCAAGTAAGCATTAGAGTTGATTACATATTATTTTGTTTTAAATGGTTAAAAATCGACAATAGTGAATATTAACTGGTAAATATGACCAATTAATTACTATTAGTTGGTGAATATTATCAACTAATGAATATTTTTAACTAGTAAATATTATTAACTTATGAATATTATTAATTATTAACTAGTAAATATTAACTGAATATACAGTCAAATGCATATATGCTGTCCTTCCGGTATGACGTTATGGCGCATCTATCAATATTTTGTTAGTTCGTGGCATGAACTAACAAAATTTTGATAGATGTGCCACGCCGTCAAACCAGAAGTACAGCAGATATGCATTTGACTGTAAAAAAAACTTGAACATAACCTAAAAGTGCGACTCACCAGTGCCATTTTCGCAAGTTCCCCAATTATTTCCGGCAATGTATCGCCATTGAAAGACACACTGGACACAGGTAAGTCCCTCCGGAAGTTTGTAATAACTTTCGAAAATTCCATTCCCAGGGGCGGGATAGTATCGAATTGTTCCATTCTCTCCTTCGAGGAGATTTTCGTCCAAGCAATCTTGAGTGACTTCGGTTCCTCTGTATTTCATCGGACACGTTCGGAACTCAAAATATCCGTTGTGATTTGCTGTCAATTCGACTCGAATTGGAATGACGGATCCTGTTTTATATCTTCTGACAATTATGTCCTTTCCGTAGAATCCGCCAGTTTCGTGTGGACGAGGCTGTATTGTCAATGCAAAATTTATGTAAAGGGAAATATACAGCGATCTGAAGAAATTCTATAAAGCGAAGAGCGAACGAATTATAGGTTATGTTGCCTGTCATATTAAAAATATTGTAATTACATTTTAATTTTGAATGCTTTTTGAGGTAAAATTTCATTAGTTTTTTTATACTTTTTAAATACTTAATAATGATTCAATACAAAGAAAAATAAAACAAATATTCCATTTCTATCACAATATTATTAGTTCGTGACGGACTTGATAAATAAATTTGCCATGAACTAATAAAATAATAGAAATGCCACTGCTTTCAAAATATGTAAACCGGAAGGACAGCATATAAGCAGTTACCTGTATATTTTCCCTCGTATTTCGGGGATTGCCGGTATTTAAACTCAGGAGCGGATCTAGAGGGGGCCCAAGGGAGTTTCCCCCCCAAAATCTGTATTTTTTTGAAGCGTGTTGCTTCCGTTTTCCGTATAGAAACACTCTAGGATTTATTCTATATTTGACGCTTTATCAAAAAGGAAAAAATTTTTCTATAGGATAAAAATAGAAGAAATTAAATTTTTTTATTGTTGTCCCCCCTAAAAAAGCCTTATTCATCCGCCACTGTTTTCACAATTCCAAAAGTTAGAAACATAACCTAAAATTTGTTGTTTATTTCGTTCACTTCTTCAGATCGCGTCACTTTTTTTTGAGACAAGCCTCAAAGAGACTGTTTTGACTTTTGAATGATTGAAATGTTTCGAGAAAAGTTTATTTTGAAGAAAAGGAAACAAGTACCTTTTTCATGTCCCAGGGATCGCCGCAAATTCCACATTTCCCATTATTTCGAGTCCATTGTCTACTATAACCACCGCAATATAATTCGTGATCATTGTAATTTTCGGGTGTATTAAATCCAAACCTCCACATGGAGGCTCTGGATGGTGGTTCGATCAGTCTTCCATGTGCAGAAACTCTATAAATTAGAAAACCTCCGAGAAAGAGAAAAAAGTTGATGATGACTATGGAAACTCGAGGCATTTTCTCTTCTATCTCGACAAAAGCTCTGCGATTAAAGGAAAAAGAAACAGGTATTTCATTAAATAATTTCTACACTATACATTATTATAATTAGTGCAAAGGGATATTTAAATCGTTTAAAACGATTTATATGTAAATGTGTGGTAAATATGAATAATATATATAGTAATAGGAAGTTGGGGAGAAAAAATTATTCGTCCTTCGTACTCTATAATCGTATGAATAATGCATAAAGAATTAAATTCGAAACAGTCGATTCAAATTCATAGATCATAATCTTTCGTAACAAAGAGCATTGTCCTGGACTAATATATCTTTTTAATTATGTTAATAGAAAAGATTTTTAAGCGCCGAGCAGAATGGGAGGTAAGCATTGAGATAAAAAAAGACAAAAGGTACTTTTGTCCTTTACGCTCTCGTTACTATTTTTATTGCTTTTTATAAACTAAAATTCCTTTTTAACCTAAAATAGAAACTTGTTAACTTCTTCCACCCTTAATAAAATAGAAATTAATGAATAAGGTATCAAACTAAAAATAAAAAGTACAAAATTAATAAAACTAAAAATATAAACTACAAAATTGTCAAACTAAAAATATAAAAATCATCAAAAGTATAGCAAAAAAATAAGGTTATGTATTTAAATCAATCTCTCAGTTTATAGCGAAATTCGATTTATTTTTTGTTCCCGTTGCGGGTAAATTGATCGTGGCCGAATCATTAATATAAATCTATTCTTCCTTGAAAGTGTGATGCTTGAAAAATTCGCATAACATAATTCCAAGTAGAAAAAAAACGAAGAAAAGAAAGAGAAAAAATTGCCCACTAAATGCTGAGACTCTGAGAGGAAAAAAGAGGAGAAATTCATGAAATTCATTGACATTCGGCATTAAAAAAGAAAGCAATGAAATTGATCGGATGCAGTTTGAATTTTTTTTCTCGTTAATCATCCATTTAAACAATAGTGATTGTAATACGCTAATTTTTCGCATATACAGTAAATCTCTAAATTCGAATTTAATTCAAAATGACTTTTTTACGTTATGTGAAAACTGACATTTTTTTGAAATAACCAAAATAACGGTAATAATTAGAGTCAATTAGTAAAAGTTTTCCTATAGTCTATTCTCTTAATTATTTATTTGAATCACGCATCACCAAGCACACTTAAGTAGCTGCAATTGTCATTAAAGAACGGGTGAAAAAATTAAAAATAAATTAGTATAATTAGTAAATACTAGAAATTAGTTCGTTTCAATAAAAAAATAACTCTTTCCCCCACCGGTAAAAATATAAAATTCAGTTTATTCTGTTTGGTAATTAAAATTGATAATTAATAAAATGAAAATTTTTACGACCAAAAAACTAAATATTGATTTTAAAGTTTCCTAACGAAAAAAGAACAATAAGAGTAAAATATTTTTATTCCCTACATAACTGGTTTTTCGCAAGGTTAATTTTTTCATTCCGACAAGTTCCTTTCCACTTCTTTGGGCACACTTGAAACACAAACTAAGTACTCGTAAATACAAACTTTATAACAAATATTAAATTTACTGTTACATTATATACTATTTAATCGGTAATATTTATTCTCGTGTAATTTCAAAATGAAATAGTAAAAACTTTAAAAATTCGTTTGAGTGTAAAAAATATTTCTAGTACTTTTGAGATATATTTTATTGAATTATAGGTTAATATTTGTAAATAAGTAAATAAATATTTAAAAATTGATCAACGTACGTACCTTTGAAATTATTTATCATAATAGTCTCTCTCTCACTGTCTTTATAACGAACTTATGTTTTTTGAAAAATGCTCTTCAGCGTCACTTTTTTCACTGTTATAATATTATAAGTGATTGTAACTTTACTTGGAAAAAGAAAGGTCCGGACCTCAGAGACGGTCACCGACGACTGAAGTGAATTGTTGTTGAACTTTTAACAATCTCTGAACTCCTTCAAGGTAGAAGTGTGTCACCCCTTTATCATCATCATCTTCGTAAAAAAATTGGTTCTCAAAAACCTCTGAATTTTAAATTAAAAAATTGTAAATTATGCGAGTTCTAAATATAACGTAAATTATTATTTCTCTCTAAAACTGAATATTAGTCACTACTAGCACTTTTGATTTATTCAGCAGCATGGATTCGTTAATTAAATTAATAGTATTATTAATAGTATTAATTAATTAATAGTATTATAAATAGTAATTCTTTTGAAGAATTTCTTTGAATTTTTTTTTTAAATAATGGAGTTTCTTTAATAATTTTAATTGAAAATTTTGAAGGTAATTGAGTTTTATGAACAATTTCTTTCAAATTTTTAAAATAATCGTGTTTCTTAATAATTGAAATTAAACATTTAATTATTGAATTTCATTAAAATTTTTAGAAAATAATTCAATTCTTCTCAGAATTTTATTCAAATTTTCTAAAATAATTTTATTCATTCAAGGAATTTTATTAAAATATAGAAAATAATGAAATTCTTTCGAAGAATAGATACAATTAACATAGTTTTGACAATAATTTGATTTCCTTCAAAAAATTTCTTTAATTTATTGAATATAATCGATTTTGTTAATAATTGCAATTAATAATTTTACTATTAAAATTTTATTAAAATTATTGATAGAAAATTAAACTCTTTTAAACAATTTTATTAGAGTTTTTAAAAATAAGTAGGTAATTAAATTCTTTCAAAGAATTTCTTTAAGGTTTTTTGAAAATGATACAGTTTTTTGAATAATTTTAATTGAAAATTTTGAAAATAATTTAATTAAACAAGGATTTTTTTTCAACATTTTAAAATAATCGTGTCTGTTAATAATTATAATTAAATATTTGAATTTTAATTTATTGATTAATTTGATTTTTGAAGTTTATTAAAATTGTATTGAAAATAATTGAATTCTTGAGAAGAATTTTATTGTTTATAAAAAATAATTTAATTCTTGCGATTAATTTTAATGATTATAAAAAAATTGGAGTTTTTCGACGGAATTATTAAAATTTGAGAAAAATTGGAATCTTCCGAAAAGTTTTCTTAAAAATTAAAAAAGAATTGAATATTGTTTCGAAGGATTTATTAAAATTTTGAAAGATAATTGAATTCTTTGGAAAAATTTTATAAAAAATTAAGAAAAAATTGAATTCCTTCATGAAGTTTTATTAAAATTATATTAAAAATAATTTTATTTTTGTAAAGAATTTTACTATTTATAAAAATAATTGAATTGTTTCGACGATTTATTAAAATTTTTAAAAATAATTGAATTCTTTCAAAGGATTTAAAAAAATTTTAGAAGAGAATTGAATTCTTTTGTGAAATTTTACTAAAATTTTGTTAAAAATAATTGAATTTTTCCAAAAATTTTGGTATTTATAAAAATAATTGAATTCTTTTGAATAATTTTATAACGAATTTAAAAGAATTGAATTATTTCGTGAAATTTTAATTGAAAATAATTGAATTTTGGCAATGATTTTTAAAAAATAATTTAATCGTTTCGAAGGATTTATGAAAATGGAAGAAAATGATTGAATTCTTTCATAAAATTATATTGAAAATAATTGAATTGTTTCGATGGATTTATTAAAATTCCAGAAAATAATTAATTTTGTTGAAAATTTTTTTAACGAATTAAGAAAAAAATTTAATTTTTTCGTGAAATTTTATTAAAAAATTTTGCTGAAAATAATTGAATTAATTGAATTTTTGCCAAAAATATTATTATTTATAAAAATAATTGAATTCTTGCGAAGAATTATTTAAAAATTTTTGAAAATATAAACAATACTAAATAAATAAATAAATTTAATAAAAATTAAAAATTACCTAAATAAATTAAATAATAAAAATTGTAATATAGATTCAATAATAAAAGTAAATAAAATATTTTGAGATAATTATATAAATTAGTGACTGAAGGACTCATATAAAATTTAAATTATGAAAATTTGATTAAATAATGGAAAAGAAATGATTTGCTTCAGTAAATAATAATCAAACAATAGGCAGTTGAGATTAATTGAGTAAATATATGTATCATTAGTATTCTTTTTTTATGTACGGTGTGGGAGTAGGTCATTAGAACTAGGTGATGTTTACAGGCATGCACGATGCACGATGCTAAAAATAGTTCACATAAAAACTATAGAATTTAATTCTCATAAAGGAAAGTCTTTTTTTTAAGAGCCACGGAGATAATTACATTATTATTATTATTAATATCTAATTAAGGCGCGAGTGTTGTCAAATTTACGCGAGATTGCTATTTCAGAATAACTGAAGCGAATAGTTGAAAAAATTAACAAATTCAATTATTTTAATTATTTCTTCTCAAATATTTTGAAATTAAGTAAAAATTTATCTGAACAATATTTTATGTCACTTTTTGAATTTAGTTTTTAGTTTTTGTAATTTTGTAGTATTTTTTTGGACTTATTGTCAGTTTTTGTAATCTTTTAGTATTTTTTGGAGTGTATTTTCCAGTTTTTGTAATTTTTCAGTATTTTTTTGAGTGTATTTTTCAGTTTTCGTATTTTTTTATATTTTTCAACATATTTTTGAGTGGATTTTCAGTTTTTGTATTTTTTTTACTATTTTTTAAAATATTTTTCAGTTTTCGTATTTTTTTTTGTATTTTCCAACATATTTTTGAGTGTATTTTCAGTTTTTGCATTTTTTTTGAACGTATTTTTCGGTTTTCTATTTTAAATTCTCATTTTATAGTACAAAAAAACATGAAACTAAAATATACAAAATAATAATGAATCCTTTTTGGAAAGTATACAATAATTTGCCATCTCACAGTTTATCTGATAGAAAAATATAGTTTAAGTGCATATATACAGAAATGTGTTTGTTTATACTTTTATTGTTTTCTTTTTAATGCAAATGTGACACCTGTTTTTAAATTATTATTAGTAAAAAATGTAAAAACTTTCTCTAGAAAATTAGTGGTTGAGAAATATTTCTTTTTTTTTCTTCTTTTTTACAGAGCGAGACGAATGTCGCACGACATATAAGTATAAATATGTATTTACAATTTTTTTTTTTTTTTTGAAAAAACACCTTTTTTATTTTTAGTTTCCTTATAATATACATTATTGATGGTAAATTTAATGTTCAGTTTAATCAACTAAAAAAGAAAAATAATAATTTGACGTTCTTCTGTTTTGAAACTAAAATGACAGGTTGATAAGTTAATGTATATAATTCGCTTCTTATAATGCAAAAGAAAACTGAATGAAGAAATTATTTTCCATCTTTTCTCTATAAAAAGAAAAATAATTTATCGATGAAATTATATTAATTAATTAATTTTATATTCTACCACAGTTTTCATGAAAGTATTAAATTTTCTTAAAAGTGTTAAATACCAATAAGTGAATCAAATTGAAGATAAAAATTTGAATCTCAATTTTTGATTTGATTCGCATTTTTGGTATGAATTCGTTGCAATTTGATACTTTTCAGTTAACAAGGCATATTTTTTATTTGATTTATCGTATTTTCTAAAATTGTTCTCTCGAATATGTTTTCTTTTATGTTTCTGTAAAAAAAATAACGAATGTGTGTGGTGAAAGTAAGAAAATAAATTCTTTGACGATAAGATTGTTTCTAACGGTGACAACAAAAGGCATTTTTCACAACAAAAGAACGTGAAATTTTCCCAAATTTCTAAAAAGTATAATTTGTGAATTTTTAAATACAAGTTTGATCTCGTTTTCTAATCAGTATCATTCATCATAATATTTTTTAAAAAAATAAGTTCAAAATTTTTTTTTCGCTACTTTTTTTCCCATTAAAGATAAATGATCTTGTGAAAAAGTGAATGAAATGCCACGGCTTTAGTGCCGCAATGAAAGAGCATAGTTAATGAGAGTTTAAAGTTGAGAGAAAGGTAAGTAGGGAAGAGGATCAATATCCTTTCGCTCGTCGTGTGTTTTGAATTCATTGACAAAAGAATATTTTCTGAATAATACGCATTCATTTTTATTAATGCGGAAAGGTATGATTTTTTATTCCGGAAAAAGTCACTTTAGAAAATTACCCATCTTTCAAAATATTTTAGTTCGAATTAATTTTCTAGAAAAGATTGAAAAAATTTTCTTTTAAAAGATTGTAAAGGTAGCAAAAAAGTATCTTTCAAACTAAAAAAAGTAGTAAAAAAGTAGCTATCGAAAATAAAACTTGACGACCGAAAAACTCGTTTTAGACACTTGACAAATTTTATAGAAATTTTTAAATAATTAATTTCTTTCGACTAATTTTATGCAAATTCTAATTTAAATAATTGAATTCTGTTTGGAAATTTTATGAAAATAGTAGAAATTGAAAATCATTGAATTGCAAAAAGTTTTTAAAAATAATTAAATTTTACAAAGAATTCTATTAAAATTTTTGACAATAATTGAATGTCTGTGTGGTATTTTATTAATTTTTTTGAAAATAATTGAAATCCTAAAAAGCATTTTGTTATTTATAGAAATAATTTCATTCTTGCGAACGATTTTATTACAATTTTTTTAAAAAATTGAATTTATAAGAAGAAATTTATTACTTTAAAAAATAATTAAATTCTTGTGATGAATATTGTTATTTATGAAAATAATTGAATTTTTCAAAAAATTTTATTAAAATTCCTCAAAATAATTGAATTTTTGAGAATAATTTTGTTATTTATCTTTAATAATTGAATTCTTTCGAAGAATTATTTATGTAAATAATTGAATTCTTGGGAAGAATTTTATTGAAATCCAAAAGAATAATTGAATTATTTCAAAAAATGTTATTAAACTTTTTGAAAATAATTTAATTCCTGTGAAAAATTCTAATATTTTTGTAAATAATTGAATTCTTACAAAAAATTAAAAAAAAAACAAATATTTTTTTAAATAATTAATTTTCTCGAGGAATTGAAATTAAATTTT